CAAATTTGTAGTGCTGCTGTTAAGCCCTTTTGCAGTACACATCACACTTGTGATGAAGCATATCTGTGAGCTCCCGTTTCATGGGAACATCATTCTGGAATGAATTGCTGTATGGTTGTTAGGAAGCTCTGTTGTTACATGTTAAGCAGCTCTTACTCTGGCATTCATTGTTACCACATGGCAAAGTAGATTTTGTGATGTATATCCCCACATGTGTATAACCAGAATACTTTAGTTAAAGGAAAAATAGGTCTGTCCCCCTAGATAGGGCTTAGGTAATGCTCATGAATAATAAAATGTATTTTGAGGTCTGCCTCTGTCATCTGGCACCTTGCATTTGCTTTTTTCTGAGACTGTATTTTAAGTAGCTAATTCAGGGAAAGAGGCTGTAAGTATTGGGGTATTTCAGTTACTTTTGAAGAGGAGACTTTGAGAACCTCAAATGAAGGCCATTCTAGAAGTCAGCTGAATTAGAAAAATATGTTTGTTCCTTTATCATTGCATGCTAAGATGCCATCCTTTGTGTTCTGTAACACAGTATTGTGTACATATTTGCTTCTTACCTGCCACTTACCCAGGAACCCACATCTGATTTTCTTTTTCCCTGTGGCTTTTGAAAAGTTTGATTTCTCCCAAAACAGAATTAACCTATTCTGCGTAGGCATGAGATTGCAGACTGTGGAAGCTGAGGTGAGGTTCAGGTGTGCAGCTGTACTGGATGGCTGAGTCTGGAACCAGAGGCCCCTCCTGGAGGACAGTGCCATGCCTGGTGTCCTCTGTGTAGGCAACAGGGCCTGTCATGGAGCTCCTGGGTGGTGCCTTCTGAATGGGGACCATAGGGAGTCAAAAAATCTATAGTTGTCTTTTTCTGGGGCTGCTGAAATTCCAAGGAGTCAGGTGGAGCAAAAACTGACTTCCACTTATGATTTAATGGTGGATCAGGGTGACAAAAGGAGATGGGAAAAACAAGTCAAATAGGAATTTTCTCAGTTGGCATCAAAAGCAAGTGTCAGTGGGATTCATTTGACTCAGTCTTCATAGCCTCATAAACTGCTTGATTAGCAGTAGAGGAGTGAGTTTGTCACTTAGCATGGTTCTGTCTCCATCTTGAGCCTGTGTTAAAACATCCACTCAGAGCTTTGGATAAAGGTGTTCTTTTTTAATGTGGCTTGTACCTGTGGTATAGGGCAACCCTGGATGTATGGACAGAGTGGGGAATGAAGTACTTGAAGGCAATGCTGCAGAAAGGGACCTGGGAGTCCTGGTCAGTGGAGAGTTGAAGGTGGGTCAGCAGTGCCCTGGCAGCCAGGAGGGACATCCCTGTCCTGAGGGGCATCAGGCACAGCAGTGCCAGCCAAGGGAGGGGATTATCCCCTGCTCTGTGGTGGCCCCACCCCAAGCTGGTGCACAACGATGTAAGAAAGACATGAAGTCCTTAGAGGATATCCAAAGGAGGGCCACGAGGATGGTGAGGGGCCTTGAGGGGAAGCAGTGTGAGGAGAGGCTGAGGGTGCTTGGTCTGTTCAGCCTGGAGGAGACTGAGGAGACCTCACTGCAGTTACAGCTTCCTTGTGAGGGGAACAGGAGGGGCAGGCACTGATCTCTGCTCTGTGGTGACAGGACCTGAGGGAATGGCCTGAAGTTGTGTCAGGGGAGGTTTAAGTTGGAAATTAGGAAAGGGTTCTTGCCCAGAGGGTGGCTGGGCACTGAACTGACCCCCAGGGCAGTGGTCACAGCACCAGCCTGACAGAGTTCAAGAAACATTTGGTGAATATTCTTGGGCACATGGTGTGACTTCTGGGGTTGGTTCTGTGCAGGGCCAGGAGCTGGACTGGATGATCCTTGTGGAATCTTTCCAAATTAGCATATTCTGTTGATTCTAGGATAGTGTGCTAAATCCAAAATCAGAAATAATAGAAATGAGATGTATATAAAAACGAATGTATTCATTAGAATTCAGCTGGATACTGGCAGTTTGAATTGCTCTATGGAGCTGTCTGTACACTTATATATACATATATGTCACTACATCAGTTTACATTTGTTTATAAATTATCAAATTAATTATAAATAGGTATAAAGGCAATTCTTGAGCCAAACTGTGCCTAATTAGTTCTAGAGAGGCTAAAGAAGTGGTATGTTCTCCATGGGCATGCAGGTTGATGTTTTCTCTGAAACATAAATGGTGAATGAGTGGCTGAAAACAGGACTGGTGAACCACTGCCTTGTAATACTCTTTAAATTGCACAAATTGGATTATGATTGCATTTACGAAAGTGTGTTTGTATATTCTGTAATTAAAAGGAAAATACCTGAACAAGGATATCCCTGCAATTGAGAACATGCATCTGACTACAAGAAGCACTCAGATGATTTATTGGAGATGGAATGTTTTTAGTTAGCTGCAGCATTACCTGAAGCTGCTATTGTGTGTCTTGAGGACATCACACAAATTTGGAGGGAGGAGTGATGGACTCGCTTAGGAAGTTTGCCTTGGCTAATGCACATGGCTAAGACAAGTGAAACTCTGTGTAAGCCCTGAAATACACTTTCTTGGGAATGCAATTTAAGTAATGTACATGGACAATCATGATTAGACTCTAAAGCAAACAATCTCTAAATAAGAGGAAGAAAAACATGCATAAGTCCTTCATGTAAATGTTTTGTATTTACTGGCATATACAAAAGTCATAATATTTTTCTGAGATTTTATTTCATTCTATGAATTTGCAAGATTTTGAGTAAATTGGTTATTTCAGTAGTAGCTTTCTTGTATCTTCTTAAGTTGTGCTACTTGCCTTGAGCAGAATGGAATTCACAGGAATGCTTTGCCCACATCCTTCAGCTAAGCACAGAGGCAAATCTGAGGGTAAGTTCACACTAATGTCAGTCAGTCTGACAGGAGAGCTGCCTGGCTGGCATTAGGGGGAGTACTTTCTGGCCTTGCAGTTAGTTAAAGTTTAGTTAAAGAAACTGAAAAAGAATCAATCTTTGTACATTTGGTGGAGGTTTTTTGTTGTTTCCTTTAGTACTCTGAACCAGCTCACTTTGTAATTTAGCCCAGAGCATTAGAATAGCGAAGAGATGAAACCAAGCATCTTGCCCTTGGCATCAGCAATTTTGGAGCTGCAGCTGCTGGTGGACACTTCTGCCTGCAGTTTATCCAGCCTGGACCAAGATTGCTGCTGAAATGAGCTGTTTTACTGTTTTCCTGCTTTTTTGCTACCTCGCTCCTTGTGCCAGCACAAGTTTTTTATGTGGCCGTTCTGTGACCCAGCCCTGTTAGGGAAGAATGGTGGTGATTAAAGAAGGTTTATTGTGGTGGTGGTTGGCTTAGGGCTGCGGAAGAGTGCAGTGTGAGTTGGCAGCAGTTTGATTTCACTGGTTTATGTGAGTACCTCGAAACCTCCATCAGGTAGTGCAGAACTGACTGCATTGAACTGCAGTAGACTGCAGTGTGTGTGTTTGTATATATATGTGGCAGGAAACTTGCTGGTACTTCCTGCTTAGTGATCTTTATAAACATCAGTAGAAAACAAATACTCAGGAGGACATTTTTAAAAAAGCAGAGATTAACTACCAAGTACATTAATTTCAAAAGTTGCATTTCAAAAATCAGTTTCTTCCTAAAGAAAGTTTTGAGTTGGTAATGCATTTGTTCTGGACTTAGTAGGCTTACTAAGCCTTATGAATATGAATTTTGAAAGCTAGAGATGGATAACAGTTGAGTGTTTTGAAACAGTACAGTTTTATTCAAAAGTGAACATTATTCTAGTGACATTATTAGAGATCTCAAAGTTTGTTGGTGCTGTTAATATTGGAGACTGGGTAGAGGAGTTAATTAAGTCAATTTTTATTGTATATGTAATGCCTTGCAAATTCACACAATATAGCAAAAGATTTTAAAGTGTTTTGGAGAAAGATAACATAACAGCATTGAGACTTGAGATGAGACATCATAATAAAACACTTGGGAATATGCATAGTGTTAAAACAGAAATTTCACTCCAGTTGTTAACTTGAGCTTTTGGTGATTGGATCAGGAACTCAGCACTGCCAAATGCATCTTCCTGGAAGCTCATACAACTCTTTGTATCACCTTACTTGGCTTTTTAACTTCCTGGGAACTGTTTTTGTTTTATGAGGTGCTTGGAAGTCTGAGTTGCTCTGGGAAATGACATTTTGGCTTCCGTGGTTATACAGTGCCTGGTGGTATAGGGTGGAATTGCTGTTATAACTTAATGCAGCTCTTTTTGTCTGTATATAACACAGTGAAGTTGAAACACAGTGAATATGGAACTGTTGGTATAGCCTTACAAGTTCAACAAATCTGGTATCAGAATTTTCTTCATATAATCTGCTAAACTGCTTGGTGGGGGTGTGCTGGGCTTCGTAGTGGGGCTGAAAGGGCAGTGGACCCAGGCTTTCATAGGCACATGCTGGTCAAAGGGAATACAGGTCAAATTCCCTTGGTGAATACTGATGTGCTACTGAGTTTGGCTGCAGGGTCTCTATTAGTCTCAGCTGAGGTAAAATCAGTCTCTTAACTCCCTCAGACATCTGCAGTTAGACAGTGACAGGAGGAGAGTATTGCAAAGATTACAAATTTGGCTTTTTAGGCTCTTAACCAAGAAATTTCTACATAGACCTTGAGCAGCACCATGAATTCAGATGGAGAATCTGCTGTAGGAATTCAAGCACAAAAGAGTCAGAGCAAAGAGCTGCACACAGAGTAAACAGACACACATTTGGAATGTGTGTCAGTTTCTTAATAGTATAAAGGCAATTGTAAGTGTAATTTTTACTTAGAACATTAAAAGAATGTTAAATATTTCAAATGTGACTTTGTTAGTTGTATTCAATAAAAAGAAATAATAAGTCTAAAATAGAAGATTCTCTATAGCAGTGTATTTGTTTCTGTAATGTTCTTTTCCAGGTGTGGATTGAGTTTCCGTGCACATGTTAATACAGGATGTTGTCTTTTTTTTTTCCCCTTACAGGTTATGCAATGGTCTCTGCAAGATGGCTTGTTCTTGAGTTGGAGCTTTTTAAGGCAAGCATATGCTGGTACTTCAACTTTACTAAGTGGACTATAATTTCTTCTCTCACATCAACTACATAAGCAGACAAAATTGCAAAGATCTGCCCTGTGTCGAGTATGACAGCCACGACTCGTGGCTCTCCGGTAGGAGGGAATGATAGCCAAGGCCAGGCTCCTGATGGACAGTCCCAGCCTCCCCTCCAGCAGAATCAGGTATGGTATTAACAATCAATTCATCTAAAAATAAAGGAAATTGTTCTTTAGAAATAGTGTTCCTGAATTATTTGAATGTGTATACTTCTGGAGATCTCTAGTTAAGTTAGACGTTTTTTTGTGCATGTCTGGAAGTACAACAGTATTTTGAGAGATGAAGACATTGTATTGGCAAAGTAAATGTGGTTGGAGAGCATGGCATTGCAAAAATGCTCCCTTTTCAGGCAGTGGCATAGTTCTTTCAAGCATACCTGTTTTGATGTGAAGCCTATCTGTTTTGGATAAGAAGCTTGGATTAATACCAGAAGCTTCCTCAGAACCACATTGTAGAACCTGCCACAGACTGGTAAAACCACACTACCTCTGTGAGTTCAGTTTCTGCTCAGTGTTGGAAAAGCACTTTCTGGATAAAGCAGCTTACTCAGGTATCAGCCTTTCCAGAGCAGCTGCATCCGGGTCTCTGTTCATTGTACTTCACTTCCTGAACAGCTTCTCATGTTCCTTGCTTTCAAAAGAAAAGCAAAAGCTTTCATATATTACATCACAGTGTAATGATTCTTTTTTGTTGGGGAAAAAAATACCAGAGAAGATGCAGTATCATGTAAGGCCAAAACCATTTAAGAAAAGAATCTTGCTTTATTATTTAATTCAGTGTGAAGATGGTATTTTTTTAATACCATAAGGTTTAGTGCTTGCTCCTTCCTGAGACTGAATTGTACTTTGATATGTGTGGTGGGCTGGCCCTGAACTGCCAAGGAAGTCTCCACTGTCTGACTCCCTCTGCCTCAGTGGAATGGGGAAGAGAATTGGAAGGAAAGAGTGAGAAACTGTTTGGGCTGAGATAAATGCAGTTTAATAAATGAAAGGGGTAGGGGGAAACAAGTGATGCAAGTGCCATCACTCACTACCAGCTGATGATGCCCAACCACTCCCCCAGCAACAGCTGCCTTGGGAAAAAAAACCCCTTTGTTTTATTGCCAAGAGTGACACGCTGTGGCATGGAGTGTCTTTTGGGTCATCTCAGGTCAGCTCTCCAGGCTGTGTCCCCTCCCAGCCTCTTGCCCTGGCAACTGCTGGCGGCAAAGTGAGAATCACAGGATTGGTAAGATTCAAAGGGACAACTGGTGGTCATGTAATCCAGGTGGCCTGCTCAAGCAGGGTTCCCTAGGCCACCTTACTGGGGATTGTGACCATACAATATATCTCCAGAGAAGGAGACTCCACAGCCTCTCAGGACAATCCATTCCAGTGCTTAGTCAGCCTCACTGTTAAGTTCTTTCTTATGCTCAGGTGGAACTTCTGTGTTTCACTTTTTACCTGTTCCTCTTGTCCTATTGCTGGGCATTACTGGGCAGAGCCTGGTCCATCCTCTGACACCTTTCTGCAGATATTGATGAGATCCCCTGTAAGACATCTCCAGATTAAATAGCTCCAGCTGCCTCAGTCTTTCGTCAGTGAGATGCTCCAGTTCCTCCATCATCTTTGCCATTCTCCACTGGTGTCTTCCATGTGGGTAGAGGTGGCCTCCAGAGTGAACTATTCTGTTACCTCTCCAAGGGTTCAAGTGAGGCTGACCAGCCTGTAGTTCCCTGGGTCTTCCATCTTGCCCTGTTGAAGACTGGGGTGACATTTGCTTTCTTCCAGCCCTCAGGCACCTCTCCTGCCTCACTATGATTCCAGCAGTTCTCTCACCACTTGTGGGTGCATCCCATCCGGGCCCATAGACCGGTGGATACGAAGTTTAATTACATGGTCTCCACTCATTCTTCTCAGCCAAAGGGAACTTCCTTCCTCTACATCTTCTCCCCAGTCTCCTGCCTGAGGCAGCAACAGGATCACATTTTCCCATGTATTTATTTTGGTTGTGATGTATTTGAAGAAGGCCTTGTTGTTACCCTTGACATCCTTAGCCAGGTTTAATTCCAAGTGGGCCTTGGCTTGCTTCATTGCATCTCTTTATACTCTGAAACACCCCAGGTGGCCCTTCTTCCTTCCACCTCGTGGTATCTCCTGCCTATGAGTTCTGACAGGAGTTATCGAAGAGAAAAACTGGCCTTGAATCTCTGCTAGCACTGTTCAGCAGACAAAACAGACAAAACACTGATGTGTTCCCAGTGCTGTTTTGGTCACAAATCCAAAACCTAGCACCGTACAGGCTGCTGTGAAGAAAATAACACTCTCTGCCTAACAGATGTGGCACAGCAGGTGAAAAATGTTCTTGAGGTTTTGTCTTCCTAAATCTTGCTCTTATTGTCAGTTCATACTATTTCTGGCTATGAATAATAAGAGACATCTGCATAACTTGTTGTATTTTGCATGGCCCATCAGCGTGGATTTAACAATCATGTTCTTCGAGGTTGATTAGTAGATGGTTACAGTAGTGAGTCACTCATGTTTAGCAAACTCTTTAAGAAAGTGTTTTTCATGATTGTTTTCTTCTGTGCTTTTGTTGAAAACTATCTCTCTACTTAAAGAAGTCACCTTTTCTGGACAAGACTTATAAAAACTGGAGCTTCAGTGTATTTATTTCACCTTCTGGAAAAATGATCTGCTGAAAATAGAAGCTGTTACCAAAAAAACCCCACTTTCCTCACTGGGGAAGTAGCTTGATTCTTAAACTGCCAGGATAGAAAAAATATAGCACATTTTATGCTCTATTTTTGTTAATAAATCTGAAATAAAATTATTTTATATTGATATGTACTTGAGATGATTCTTTGGAATGCATTATGACAGAAAACTGCCAAAACAAGTGGAACACAAGTGCAGGTAGTACTTGAAGTATTTTCCATCTTAATTTTAGACTTCTTCACCTGATTCTTCAAATGAGAACTCCCCAGCTACCCCGCCTGATGAGCAGGGCCAAGCTGATGCTCCACCCCAGCTTGAAGATGAGGAGCCTGCATTTCCACACACAGACCTGGCAAAGTTGGATGACATGATCAACAGGTATTTTAATGCTTTTTAAAAAGGTGTTGATGATTTGTGCAAACATCTTGATAGTGGAATCAGAATTTTTATAACTTTGTTTCACTGGATTTCTTGAAATGCTTTTTTCATTGGGTTAAGGTTGTAAAGAGAATGTTAAAGCAGAATGTGTTTTTATTTGGGTTGGTTAGTGTAATACTTGTCAGGGCATTTAAAAATCTATGTATTGAGCCTATATTTAAAAGCATTGCAACGGGGCAAGAATTCTTGATTTTTCAGGAGCACAATTGAAATTGGGTTTGTTTGTTTTTGAATATAGGCCTCGATGGGTTGTTCCTGTATTGCCGAAGGGGGAATTAGAAGTTCTTCTAGAAGCTGCTATTGACCTAAGTAAAAAAGGTAACTGAAAGACATTTGATTATTGGACTGGTGTGCAAAGTTTTTTTTTCTTCTTTTGAATCCCTGGTGAAAGCTTAAAAATTGTTAATAATTTCTGTTACAACCCTGGTCTTGAAGATGGTATCAGGGTGTTATGCAAAATCTTCACAGATGAGAACTTTAAAAAAGCCATGAATGTAATTAGAAATAGGTGCCTTAGCACGAGTAGGGAAGTTGAATAAGCTCAGAGACATAAAAATCCTGTCATTCCTGTCACACCTGTTTTCTGTATTCACTTTGATATCAGACCTTCTGGGTTTGGTCTTTATAGCAGGTGCTAAAACGCAAAGAATTCTAGTTGTTTTTATTTTTTAGTAAGTTTCTAGTCTACCTTTCAAACGTCTTGCCAGAAATTTTTGTTCAGATTTGGCACTCATATACTTTTAAGAATATCAGAGAAGAGTTAGAATTTTAAACAGCATGGCTTAGACTCATAGTCTTACCTGTGCTTGCTGATGTCTGACTTGGGAGTAAGAGGGTTCCGTATCAGGACAGTGTGTGTGCCTGTTAAATTGTACTGGTCAGATTGACATGTTTGCCATGTGTTCTGGAGAGTTCTGTTCTCCTGGGAGGTTGCTTGTGTTTGAGTAATAGCAAGAGTCACAGCAAAATAATTTTTAGGATATCTACGCTCACCAGCTCTTTGTGTTTCTAATATAGCATTATACAAAGTGCCTGCTCTTTCTTCTGCATAGGTGCTGGCCCAGGATAACTTCATTTCCACGAATAAACATATTCTTAGGCAGCTTTAAGACTAAAAAGCTGATTGTGGTCATGATATTCTGGGTTGTCTTGATTGTTAAGTCTCTTTTGCTTCAGAGCACTCTGTGGAGAAACAAAAGTTAGGGTGCATCCTTGTGATCCAGCAAGGATAATGACATTTTTCTGCCAACACAAAGCTGTAGTTGTGCTTGGAATTGGTGGCTTTGTGTGTAGCTGGGTCTGGCAGGAATCCTCAAGCAAGTGTAGGATGTTCAAGGGATCACATCTGTTCTGAAGGGAAAAGAATGCCAGCTTTTCAGGAGAAAGTGCAGCCACCTTTGTGTCTGTGTTGTTGGAACAGTACAGTAAAAAGAAATTATCTGCTTGTGATTTGTGAGAAAGGAGAAGTATATTCTGCCAGCTGTTAAGTCATCTTTAAAAAGAAAAACAACCCACAACCTAAAAGCTGTCAATGCAGTGAAGTAATAAGATCAGAATGAGATTTCTAACTACTCCTGACATTAATGTACTTCCCCAAAGCATCAGGCTTAGTTGAAAGTTCCCCAAAACAAAAGCTTATTTTTCCTCTTGACGTTGTGAAAAACGGTGGAAACATATTCATATGCTTTTGCACTTTGATTTTAATTAAGTTGTTGGTGTGCAATTCTAAAAAGTACTTCTGTGTTGCTGCTTATTTATGTTTCCTTTTGCCCTCCAGATGAATTGCTATGTGTAAACACTAAGATTATTGGGTAAGGAGAAAGCAAGGAAAGCTCTTAAAAGTAGTTGTTTACTGTGTTATATTAACAGCTTCATCCTAGATTTTTGGAGGGATTTTTGCTACTTGAAGTTACATGATGGCTAACGTGGTTCCTTTTAAATAACTTCCAGTTCCCAAGGAATATGATAGGGTGTAACTGACACTGTTTTGGTAGCTCAGAGCTTGGCAGACACTGTTTGAGAGTGGGGTATATATAGAGAAGGAATAGAAATGGTTTGGTTGTGTATATTTCATAATAGATTAAACTGCTCCATTATCTCAGTAACATCTAAAATTCAACCCCTTGCTACCTGTCTGTGGGAATGTTTCATATTCTGACGAGATCTGTTTCCAAAAGGAGGAACTGAAAGAATATACTGAAAAATAACCAGCTTTGAAATGACTTAAACTCTGTATTTCTGACTGTATCCTATTTAAATTGTGAAGCAACAAAACCTAGAAAAAACCCACTACATGTTTTTGCAGGCACTATTTTCTTGTGGTTAGGGCTCTTAAAAACCTTTTATTCCTAACATGGCCCATGGCTGTCAGCATTCTGGAGTGACTGCAGGGCATCTGCTTCTTTGTGACCCTGGCTGTAACATAAGAGTGATGTTTGCATCATCTTTAAATCTTTTCAGGAACTACAACTGAAAGGGATGTAACTAAACTAATTGAAAGCACTTATATGAATGAAATGTCAGCACTACCACCTTCAAGTGAAAGGAGAGAATTTGACAGAGTAGTGTGAATCCTGTTAGACTGTGACTTGCATTATTCCTGGCAGATGCACTCATTTATGGAAAATTCTCTTTTTATGTGTAGGCATCAATGTATTACTCTTTGTTAAACAATGAGCCATGAAACTATCAACAGGTAGTCTGGAGTTAATTGCTAATAGAAGAAAACCTATTTGAAAAATAGCATTTAATAGCTAGACTGATGTTTATCTTCTCAATAAATCGGGAATACTTAGGGAGTATTTTCAGTAATGAGATTTGCTCCAGAAGTAAATGCCGTGGTGAATGGGATACTATAAATTAAAAAAAACAACAAAAAGGTTTATTCTAAGGTTTTGGTTTTTTATAGGCAAGAATATTCTCCTCTCTTTCTTTCAGAAGGATTTTATTGCTCCTAACATTTACACTCAGTTTTTAACATGCTGCCAGAACTTTACAATGTAACACACACAAGCAAGGTGCAAGGCAACTTCTGGATTTATAACTGACTTAAACTGAAATGAGATTTCTCTACACAATATAAGACTTGGTCCCAAATCTGTGTTTTTGATGAATTGTACCAAATGGGAGAGAGAGGGAGGCCCTAGTGGCAAAAAAATTAAATTTTTGTGTGCATGGGCACATGTGCACCCAAAAGTTAGGCCAGCCCAGCAACGGGAGTTGTTTCCAGCACCCTCTGAAGACCATCTCCATCTCTCTCAAGATGATTGATCTTCATTTCTGTGGGACCACTATTGAGTTCCTTACTGAGGCTGTATCTTCTGCATTTCCTTGAAATGGTTATTTTTACCTCTCTTCACTCACTAGTTTTACTGTTAGCAAGTAAATAAGAGAGAACATAAAGAAGAATTGTACTTTTATTTTTGCTAGTATATCTATGGAAGTATGTTGTAAACGTGGGGGAAAAACCAAACCAAATCACATGTTTTTAAAAACAATTAAAAAATTATGTAAAGGAGTGTTATTTTTTGAGGTAGTTTTACTAGAACATTAATCCATCGAGTTTTTTGTCCATTTGGACTTATGTAAGTTTGTTTTCATCCAAGACTTGTTTAGAATCAGTTCTGAAACTTTAAACACCAAACCTTTGAAGTCCAAATGTTGTGATTTAACCCCAGCCAGCAGCTAAGCACCACACAGCCACTTGCTCATTGCCCCTCTGCTGGGACAGGGGAGAGAATCAGAAAGGGAAAAGTTAAAAACCTCATGGGTTGGGATAAAGACAGTTTAAGAGGTAAAGCAAAAGCTTTCTGTGCCAGGAAAGCAAACCAAGGAATTAATGCACCACTTCCCATGGTTGGGCAGGTGTTCAGCCATCCCCAGAACAGCAGAGCTCCATCACATGTGACGGTGACACAAACAACATCACTTCAAGCATCTCCCCCTTCCTTCTTCCTCAGCTCTGTAGGCTGATCATGGCACCATATGGTCTGGATATCCCTGTGGTCCTTAAGGCTCAGCTGTCCTGACTGTATCCCCTCCCAAATCCTTGTGCATCCATTCCCCAGCTTACTTCCTGGCAGGGTGGTGTGAGAAGCAGGAAAACCTCGGATCTGAGAGCTCTGCTCAGCAGTAAAGAAAACATCCCTGTGTTACCAGCACTGCTTCCAGCCCAAATCAAAACACAGCCCTGTACAAGCTACAGAGAACTTATCAACACCAGCACACCACATCTCTACTTTCAGCATGTAAAATGTTCATGTAACAGCTAATGAAATTCCATGTCTAATACTTTGTTGTTCTTTCTTATTTTAAATAGGCCTTGATGTCAAAAGTGAAGCATGCCAGCGATTTTTTCGAGATGGGTTAACAATATCCTTCACAAAAATCCTTACAGACGAGGCAGTGAGTGGCTGGAAGTTTGAAATTCATGTGAGTTTTTAAAGTTGTGTTTCTGAAGAGTGTGGTAATTTTAAAAGGAAGAGGACTGCCATTGTGATTGGGGGGAGATTGTAAGAACTGGAGCTCATCTTTGAAATTCAGTAGCAAGTTGTGAGAAAGCTCTTGTATGCATGGATCTGGACAGGCAGTGGGGAGTCATCTTTCTGTCAGTGTTTCACTTTATTGCCTCCAGAGTTTTGGAAGGAAATAAAACATGAGAGATGATTTGGGGACGACTGGAACCGTGTATGTTCCGAGTTTATAGTTCATATTCATTGTACAGTCCCCTGCCACATTCTTACTTGTTCTTTTTTTTTATTAACAGAGATGTATTATTAACAACACTCATAGACTAGTGGAACTCTGTGTGGCCAAGCTGTCCCAAGATTGGTTTCCCCTTCTTGAACTTCTTGCCATGGCCTTAAATCCTCACTGCAAATTTCATCTATACAATGGTACTCGTCCCTCAGAAACAGTTCCTGCAGGAGTCCAGCTCGCTGAAGATGAACTTTATGCCCGTCCTCCTGACCCACGATCACCAAAGGTGTGAGATCCCTTCCAGACCTGTGTGTTTTATTCTGTGCAGTGTTATCTAATGACACAGCAGCTCTAGAGAAGTGTTTTTAGAGTGGGGGCCAAAAGTCCTCTTCATTCTTCTATCAATCACTAAGATGTTCTGTTGCTTATGACTCCTGATTCAATGCACATTTCCCCTTTTTACTCTTCCTGTCTTTGGTCCACCATCAAACTGTGTCATGTGTTTCTGACACTGCTGGAATGTCATTCCTACTGTGCTAATTGGCTTGCTTGCATTTGCCAGTTGATGGATTTACCTTCTCCCTTAACATGAAGTTTTGTAGGTGACACACTTTGAGGAATAGATTATGTGATGAATTAGGAATTTTCTCTCCCTTACAGTTTCCAGTGGTAGAAGGAATGTTTTTTAATTGGACATGAGATGCCACTGTCAGTGTGGTTTTTTCAGTGGCTTTGGTTTGGTTTGGTTTTGGGGGGGATGTTGAAGGTTTGGATTTTTTGTTTTGTTTGGGTTTTTTGTTGTTTGTGTTTCGTAGCTGGGTTTCTTGGGGTTTTGTTTTGGTTGTTTTATATTTTTAACTAGAAATGAAAATTAGCAATCTGCCCTGGTTCTTGAGTCTGCAGTTTTCCAAATGGCATTGATAGGACTCCTTTATATATATATATATATATATATATATATATGTATGTATGTATGTATGTATACACACACACTTTTTTTTTTTCTTAAAGGTTTTCTTTTTTGGTTTGTAATTTTTTTTCTTTGGTGGAACTGCTGACTATCTACTTGTAAGAACCAAGGATAAAAAACTCCACTGTCCTTGGACTTCCCTTGCATTGCTAGTTGTGTTTAGAAGAATGTTACTTTGCATTCTTAATGTTTGTATATGTGACATTATCACATCCAGGACAAAAAAACACCTAAACTGTCAGACTTTCTGTAGTAATTTAGCAGCTAAAGCTGGACCTAAATTACAGTAAATTTTGTTCCTAAATACATTTCTTTGAGTAGCTCATCGACAGCATCTGCCCTTCGACATGACAACAGAAAAGATATTTTTGCCTGTTTCTGAGCATTTCCTTAGAACTGAATATGTAAACTGTGTAAAGATTATTTTAAAGCAAATGTTGTTATTGAAAGGTATTTGAAAGTATTTCTAGATGGTGCTTTGCAAATACCAGAAAATAACTGTTTGTTTTATTACAGGGTTGGCTAGTAGATCTTATCAACAAGTTTGGCACATTAAATGGATTTCAGGTCTTGCATGATCGATTCATGAGTGGATCAGCATTGAATGTTCAAATAATTGCAGCTCTCATCAAGTAAGTTGTTTTCTAAATAATGATTAGTGCATTTGCAAAAGTTGGACTCAGTATAAAATACTATGCTGGCAGAAGGCTTAAGACTTTTGTTGAAGCACTTCCTTTCATTCCATCTCTTCAGCTGGTGGTGTCTACCTTCACCATTTCATGTGCTTCTAAGTAGATATGAGTTTCTTTAATTAATTGCACCTTATTATCATAATATTGCATGACTACTGATTATGACACTTTCCTTTTTTTCTTTGTTTTTTAGGCCATTTGGACAATGTTTTGAATTTTTAACATTACATACAGTGAAGAAATACTTCCTTCCAATTATAGAAATGGTTCCACAGTTTTTAGAAAATTTAACAGATGATGAACTGAAAAAAGAAGCAAAGAATGAAGCCAAAAATGATGCTTTGTCAATGATAATCAAATCTCTAAAGAACTTAGCTTCAAGAGTTCCAGGACAAGAAGAAACTGTAAAAAATTTAGAAATATTTAGGTTAAAAATGATTCTTAGGTAAGATGCTACTCCTAATATAATATGCCACTGGTGACATTATTTTCCACACTTCTTACATTAAATTTTTCTCACAGGTTGTTACAAATTTCCTCTTTCAATGGTAAAATGAATGCACTAAATGAAGTTAACAAAGTAATATCCAGTGTGTCATACTACACTCATCGACATGGTAATCCTGAGGAGGAAGAGTGGCTCACAGCTGAAAGAATGGCAGTAAGTGCTCCTTTTCAGTGAAGTTCATTGCACAGATTTGGTTTCTCCTTTGTACTTCAACTGTAGAAGTAACTCTATATTGTGGATTCAACACACACTGTTTATTTTCATATACTTAAAGTGTTAGAAACATTAGGTATCATGTCATGGTAATAAAGCACTTTAATAGTAGCCTTTCTGTGAAAAAATGCTGCAGTTGTGTCAAAGCTGCTGTTGAGGATTACTTTTCAGTGCTGCTAAAATCATGGCTCAAAAATGGATCCTTGGATAGTGTGTGTTTTATATGGAGTTTTAAAAAACCCAGAGAAACTTAGATAAAACAGATGTGATTCATTTGTAACTGCAGTGTTGCAGTAACTAGAAATGTAATGGTCATTTAAATAAGGATGTAGTCTGGGTTTGGTGCTTCAGCTTTTTCTCATTAGAGATCTAAGTGACTGGTCTGCTTCTCACATTTCAGAAGCTGGATGCTTCAGTACAGAAAACTCTAGATACCACATTTTTGTTTTAATCAATGTTTTTGTATTTTCGATACTGTTGCTTGAATGAAGGTATAGGGAAGTATGAAAATGAGCAATTATAAAACTAAAGTAAGAACTATTTTCTCTTCATTTTTGGGAAAACTAGTTATGTTAAGTAATTTTTGCACTGTTCTGCCCCATGTTTCTGAATGGCGACCTGTTGTAAGGTTTGTAATCTACAAAAGGACATCTGACAAGAAAAAATAACGGCAGTTTTGACTTTTTAAATCAATAGGAGGAAATAAGTCTCTTTTTTACACGTTTCTTACAGTTTGGTATCTCATACAAGGTCTGTGTTTTTAACTGAAAATGTCTAGATTTCATTATTTTGTGAGACCAGCTTGAATATTGCAAGTCTGAGCAAGGACAGTGTTGGAAGTGATGATGCTGTGGATGTTTGTTTTCTCTGTCAGTGCTCAGAGCATATCCTGCTTTACTTCACTAGGAACAAAATGGTCTGGCTGCATCAGTGACACCACTGAGAAAATTGCATCTCCTTAAATATGACTTGAATATTTGCCTCTGGTTCAATTAGAAACATTTCAAAAACCCTAAAAGTGGCAGTACTTAATCATTTTTATATTTCAGTTCTTACTTAAGTCCTTTGTATGGGATATGCTGTAGGAGTACCAGTAGAGTTGGATGTATCTTAAACAATTTGGTTTTGATACTTAATGACTGTGAATTGGAAGACAAAAATTCTGTTGCTTGAATAGAAGAATTTGCTCTTCACATTGGCTTCTTATGTTTGAAATTGTTTGAACATTTTCCAGTAATTATCTTAAACAATTTGGTTTTCATACTTAATGACTGTGAATTGGAAAACAAAAATTCTGTTGCTTGAATAGAAGAGTTTGCTCTTCACATTAGCTTCTTATGTTTGAAATTGTTTGAACATTTTCCAGTAATTATCCAGTAATATATTGGATTATTTTAAGTAATGATTTTTTAAAAAAATTAAATTAAAGATACAAGCCTTTCTGTTGTGCTGTGTCTTTTTAAATCTGTAACAGGTTGGATTTTTGTTTTGTAGTTTAAATATTAATGATGGCACCTGAATAATTTGAGATGGCACAACTTTCTTTTTATATTCAGGAATGGATCCAGCAGAACAACATTTTATCAATTGTATTAAGAGATAGTCTTCATCAACCTCAATATGTAGAAAAACTTGAGAAAATTCTCCGGTTTGTCATCAAAGAGAAAGCTCTCACTTTGCAGGATCTTGACAACATTTGGGCTGCACAGGTAAATAATTCAACTGCTTGTCTGCTGCTGCACAGGAGGCATCTCCTTGGATGTCGTGTTGAGAAGAGAACCTGGGCTGCTTCTGCTCTGTGTTAGACAAAGCTAAAGAAAATTTGAGGTGAAATGGGGTTCCTTTTTGGGGTCTTGGAGCTTAAAATTGTCATCTGAAGTGTCTCCAGTGGAAGGGCTCAGCTGCACATATATGTGAAGCCTGAGGGAACAGTTCAGAACATGGTGCAGAGATGATCCTTTTTAAGTATTAAAGAACCTGAAACATTGAGCAGAGACATGATACATGATAGCTTTAGTATTTTAAAATGCATGAAGAAATGCGTGTTGCTAATCTCTTGAGTTCACATAGTTGTGTAAGATTTTCCTGGGCTGAGTGTGATGAGTAAGGCTTATAATAACTGTATTAGAAGTTGTTTAACTGGAAGTTCTTTTCCTTGTTTTGCAATAATTATTTTTGAAAAATTACTAATTTTGCAATACTGAGTTTTTTACTCATGTGACTGGGGAGGTGGATTTCCCTAGCTGTGGGCTGCCTGATTCTAATACACAGACTTGGCAGCTGGAGAGACAAAATCATTGAGCGTTAGTGAGGATACAGAAAATTTAAAAAAAAATAGGATTGAAACATAAATAATGGGTAGTGAAATTCTGATTGTACAAAAAGGTCTTAAGGCCAGTCTTTCAAGTGTGGGAAGGCTAACTCTGGTTTCCACGACAGGGAGGGAGAGCTGTACTGATTTGGGCAGGGACAGAGTTACATTTCTCCATGGCAGCTTCTGTGCTATGTTATCTCAACTCTGAGTTTTCTCACTTTCATCCTCCTCACTCTCTTCCCCCTGGCACTGTGAGGTGGAGATTTGAGTGAGCAGCTCTGTGGTGCCCAGTTGCCAGCTGGATTATACATTGACAAAGGCCAATACAAGTTTGATTATTTTGATAACACAGTTTACATGTGTTCATGCTGTTCTGAGACTGCAACAGTTTGGCTTAAGTGGACTTATTTTCAGCTTACATTTATAACACTTGGGACTGCAGGTGATGTAGGGGAGATCTCTGGTGTTGCAAGTAATTTCATCATGCCTAGGCTTCAGTTCCAGCATGGCAGTTACTGCACAGGCTGAAACTCAATAGAGTCTTTTCTTATTATCCCAAAGTCCTGTTAAGAAAATTTCATCATGTAGCCCAGCAATACACAGATTACTTGAATTAAGGTCTGGGATCATACTCTTAGTTTTCAGCTTGCAGTCTATAGATCTTTCCAGACTACAAGATACCCGGGGGAGAAAAGAAACCCTCAGAAAACTTTGAGAGGTTTATTTGCTGTTAGTAGGCCTCTTGTACCTATTTTAGAGCCTCACTTTTAATAGGAGGAGAAAAAATCTGAAATATGGGAGAAAAAGTCTTCCAAGCAATTACCTTGCTCCTAGGGCTTGGAAATAGGACGTGTGGATAAGCTAGTGTAAGTCAAACTTTCTACCCTTCCAGAAAAATGTGAATACATTGTACAACCCTTAAAAATGGGGATAGTCCACCTTACCAGTTAAAAAAAAAATTAGGGGTAAATAGGAGTAATTTCAGAAGGAATGTTCCATGCCCTTAAATACCCAGCTTGCTCTGCTCACTTCTTATGCTTTCAAGGAGGTGGCTACTGCAGTGCTCTGACTGTTATTTTGCCCTGTACTTTTTTTTGTGTGAAAGGAACTCTTATTCAGGTAGATGGTTTCACTGTGGCTTTAGCCATGGGATTATAATGGACTAAAAATTAAGAATATTAAAATCTGCTAATACAGAATGATTTTCACCTACTTCACTACTCCCTGTGTATAGTAGTTTTTAGAAGTTCATATTAAATGACTGCTCCTGAGAGCAGCTGGGGCATGAAATTCAGTAGTGAGGAGTTGATTTACTGTGTGGCTTTATATAACAAGCTATTTTAGCTCAGCCTCAGTGCAGCAGTGGGGGGGTTTAGAGGGTGACCATGCACCTGAGACTCTTTAGTATTACCAAAAGTAATGCAGTTATGCTGCTTTTGCCTTTCAAAGGCAACCTAAGTTTTAATTTTATTGAAGTGTTTTCATGCCTTACAAAGCCAGTGCTCACAATACAGGAGTGTATTTGATTAAAGGAATAATGTTGTAAGTTTCTAAATGCAAGCATTAAGTTGCAGGGAAAGATCCAGCTGTACCAAATACAGAATGGCAGAGGTTGAGGTCTCATGACTTCTGTTCTGGAGTGTTTAACTGGAACTTCACAGGCATTTCCCTGTTCCTGTGCAGCAAGCTGGCAGGTCACACACCAGGTTCCTTACCTCCTCCCACTGTCTGGTTTTGCTTCCCCAGACCCTTCAGTGCTTCACAGCTTCCCCATATCTGTTAAAAACCTCCCAAATCAAGGTTGTTACTTGCTTTATTCTTGCTCCTCCCAGGAGTGGGCCATATTTCTATATTATAGATGCATGCCTTGCATGATCTCAGTTTTTCTTTCTATCCAGGAAATGGTCTGGTAAGAGGAAAAAAATTACAATGTTTCCCAATGTCAAATGGAATTATGGGTTTAGTAATACCCCCTCTTGTAATCTGACCCATAATGTGAAAACAAACATTACTACTTAAAATTACTTTTTTTAAAACAAAAATTTATGACACCTTATAAAGAATTAAGGCACAGCATGTAACAAAGCTATTAGTCTGTTTTTGTTTTTTAGGTTTGGTTTTAAATTACTGATGGAAGCTTTTAGTAGGAATTGAATTTCAAAGGTGCTTATACATGTATTTTTAATAGTGTACAAGATTAATTACATCAGAATGTGTATTCTGGTTATTTGTTTTGCATTTTTTTATTTCTCACAACAAAAATTTCTACAGTAAATCAGCTATTGATTCTCATAGTCCATATTTGTTGGTTTTGACTGCAGATGTAAAGTACAGGATGTGTTTTCCAGCCTGGGCAGAAAATTTTCTTCATGCTCAGAGTTAAATGGAACTAGCTTTTTTTGCCCTCATTGTCTTCCTCCTTAGATATCAAAATTGTGAAGTACGCCACACTCTCAGTTAAAACTGTGTCTGGTATAAAACTCAGCATCTTGTCCTTAGTTGTTTCATTGCTGGATTTGTAAAAAAGCTGCTGGACTTCAAAACATTGTCTGGTAACAAGTTGTTTGTAATAGAAGGCTTTAGTTGTCTGTGAATCCACTAACAAAAAGGAAGTACTTCAGCCTGACAAACTGGTGAAATACTAAAAATTGGTTTACGCCTTAAAACACCTCAGTGAAATTCAGAAGTGGATTTTGAGTAATTCCTTCTTAAAAAAACCCCAAACCATGAAAACCCACATAAAACACCATAAAAATACCAGCTTGTAAGTTAAATTACACTTTTAGATTTTATTGTCCTCTGTCCCAGCTTGATTTTGTAGCAGGAACAAAAAAAATAAATATTTTGATGCTGCAGTATTTATGGTCTAAATAAATACTTGTGTGCAACAATCAAAGCAGACTTACATACTTGCACTTAAAAGGGAAATCTAAATATTGTGAATTCCCAGTGAAGTATTCAGTTTGCCTCGTCTAAATAAATACTTGTGTGCACACAGTCAAAGCAGACTTAAATAGTTACACTTAAAAGGGAAATCTAAATATTGTGAATTCCCAGTGAAGTATTCAGTTTGCTGTGCTGCTCCCACAGCATCAGCTTTTCTTGCTTGCCACCTCTGGTAGTCTTCTTTATAAAAATTAGGTAGAATGTCTTGCTGCTTGACTTAATATGAATTGTTGGTGTATTCTTTTTTTTTTTTTCTTCCTGACAGGCCGGAAAACATGAAGCCATTGTAAAAAATGTACATGATCTCCTTGCAAAATTAGCTTGGGATTTCTCTCCTGAACAGCTTGATCACCTGTTTGATTGTTTTAAGGTAATTTTGTGATTTGACTGTATTTAGGAAATGAGTTGTGAGGGTGTGTGTAAATTTGTGGCTTTTTCATTGTCTTTCTTTCTCCTTTTAGATTTGCTCAGTTTCTGTGTGTTAAAAGACTTCTTAATGTGTAACAGCAGTCTGTAATATTTAATTCTAGAAAGGCTGTTCTTTAGTGAGTGCTCCTTGTGAGATTTTCTGTTTACTTCCTGTCTAAAACAAAGGCCTCTTATTTTTGTTTAGTAGACAGTTTTGTTTTCTGGTTTGAACACTTCAGGATGATGCAGGTCTGTGAAGCCTGTAGTATTAAAGTCAGATTTAGCAATCCTAGGACTATTGAATTTTCCAAATAAAATAAATTATTTGTTTTAGATACCTTTTTACATTTGTTCCAAATTAAGAAGTGTTGGTGATTCAGTAAATTATGTTTTTCTCCTGGCATTAGAGTAGGTTTTGTCAGGTTTACTGGGCAGTGCTACTTTTGATCTTTAAGTAGAGGAGATCAAGGACTTCCGTTCACTGCTCCCCCAGCTTCCTCTTTATCATGTAATAACTTTTCTCCATTTAGCTTACATACAAAAAGAAACAGTCTCAGGAAGATAAAGTTGAATGTTTATAAACACGTAGTGATTTGTTTGAAATGACAAAACAACTTGTTTCTGAAAGTTTATGTTATTCACTGGCTTTTATGTATTACATTTAACATTTGCAGCTTCCAGTAGTGGTAACAAGCTCTCCAGCTTGTTTTACTGTTTCACTTTCAGAACATGATCTGCTGTACTGCTTGAAAATGCAAGCCAGCTTTGTAGACTCTGTTTTCTCTTTTTAGATAAATGCATTATAGTCATATTTTGGCTTTCATGCAATTTGTGCTTTGTTTAGTGTGGTCCTGTAGTTTGCTGAATGTGGGTCTAATGTTCTGTAGTTCAGATACTTAACCCAGTGCTCAGAAATGCTGTGTGTAAACTGTTGTGTCTGACCTTGAGGGATGGATGTGAAGTGATGGTATATTGAAATATTCAGGAAAAGGTTAATGTAATGCAGGGACCATGTGTTTCAGTCTGATTCAGAGGCATGAACGATACTAAAGTTTTACTTATGTAGTGATTATAAGTTATTTAAGAAATCTTTTAAGTGTAAGCGTTTGTGAAAGCATTTAAAAGAGACAGCTAAGTCCACTCTGTTGGTGGAGTTGTCAATGGCATTGTTAACTTTTACAAACACATCTATGATCTTTAAATAAAGAGCCATCTTTTTTTAAGCTTCAAGGTGAATATGCTGTAGTTGTAAATACAAGACTGAAGAGAAGAGCTCTTCAGGTGTGTCTGGCTTATGCATTGCTCTAATTTGCTATTTATTATTAATGACAGGAATTAATGTGAACGTTCTTTATGTAGTTGCATCACTTTATTGTTACATAATTTGTTAACAGTGCAGGTTATGTGTGGAATTTAAAAAAAAAGACTTCTATAATATTTTTTTAAAATATTGTCTTAGGCAAGTTGGACAAATGCAAGCAAGAAACAGCGTGAGAAACTGCTGGAGTTGATTCGTCGCCTTGCAGAGGATGACAAGGACGGCGTGATGGCACACAAAGTGCTGAACCTTTTGTGGAATTTGGCTCACAGTGATGATGTGCCAGTTGATATCATGGACCAGGCTCTTAGTGCCCATATAAAAATCTTAGATTACAGCTGTTCACAGGTGAGTAATCCAGTATGAAATCAGTCTCTTGAGTTTCCTTCCATTCCGCACAAAAAATTTGGTAATTTAACAAAAGTATTACTTACATACATTTGTATGGTTCTATCAACATCCTAGTACTTTTAAAATGTTACAAGACATATTTTCATCAACACCATTGGTGCTTTAATGGGAGAGAGAGACAGTGTAATACCTCAGTTTGCCTGTCTTGTTGCAGTTGGTGGCGTACTGTACTTAGTACCCTGGAAGATTTGGAAAAGAACCCTACTAAAATAAATTGGGAGAAGGGAAAAGCAATCCCACCCCTTTGCTTTTTCCCAAACTTCATGCTGATTTGTTTCAGTGGGTTTTGTTGAGGTTTCTTTGTGCCAATAAGTCCTTATCTGTCCTGTATGCTAGAAAGGACCTAGCAAGATCCTTTTCATACAATTATACACTCTCCTTCCCTACCCAAACTTCTGTGAAAGTCTGTCAGAGTAGTAATTAATTATGGTTTGAAATGAATCCATTATCCATTATCCATTGTTAAGAAACAGTTTCTCATTGTTTCTTGATATTTTATGGCAATGAGTAGAAATAAATGGAAGAAAAGAGCAAATTATTTAAACACTTTTTCACAAGTACTGAGTGCTTGAGTGCAGGGAGATAACACCCTGCCAGCATGTAGTGCTGCTCAGATACTTCTGTTATGCTTTTATGCTTCAAAACTCAGGTGATCCAGTATTTGACTTTGAGTATTCCATCTCAGACACAAAGAAAGGGAATTAGGGTAGCTCTGCAGTATGCTTGATTTTGATTGTAAACTGCTGTTCTTTAAGGATCGAGACACACAAAAGATCCAGTGGATAGATCGCTTTATAGAAGAACTTCGCACAAATGACAAATGGGTCATTCCTGCACTGAAACAAATTAGAGAAATTTGCAGTTTGTTTGGTGAAGCACCACAGAACTTGAGGTAAGAATGGGATTCAGATAAAATTTTGTCTGTTAAAAGTTGGATGGTCGCAATTTAATTTTTTTTTTTTTTTTTTGCAAGAGGTCAGGAAAGTCTAAGGTAAAACCATAATCTGTGTTGGAAGATGGTCTTGAGTTTGTTCTAGTGTGTATAAATAGTATCTAAAGTCAGACACCTATGTTTGGTAAGAGAGCATTAACTGCTTCTTCATACATGGTTTTAATAATTTTTATGGTAATCCAGTGGAAAATCTGGATTTCTTTTTCTGTTATTCATGGAGTTTGCTGCTAACAATGGAATTAGCTTACCAAGCTAATATGTTAACATATGTTTTATGTGCCTATGTGGCTGTATGCACAAACATACATACACAAACATAGGCACCGGTGCTTGTTCTTTGATGATAAATTCTTAGAGTTCATCTATTTTATATGCTTAATATCAAAGGTAACTTTGTGGTCTGGGTGAAGTTCTCTACTGATTTTCTCTCCTGAATGGAATAAATTAAAATGTGTGGAATTTGTTTTATTGGGGTGACGGGTTTGTTTATTTTGTTAGAGGTTCATTGATGTTTGCTTCTGAAAGGAAGAAATGAGAAGGCATTATCAGTTTGGACTTGTTAAAGTATACATGATTATTTTCATTCTTTTTAATGTCTTCTCAGTAAGAAAGACTGAGCCCTTTAGAGTATTTGTATTCATGTCAGAATTTTTACAAACTCCTGAGAAATAGTGTTGGCTTATGTGCTGCACAATTGCTTTGTTTTAATTCTTATAAGCAGATAAAGTATTCAAGTCAATGTTGCTATTACAGTCAGCTCACAAGAAGGATCAAATCAGGGAAAGTTGAGGAAAATAAGCCGCAGTTTGCACAACACTATCTTCTTACTGATAGCATTTTCAGGAGCTGTGATAATGTTGCATTCCTGGCTTCTGGAGTTTTCTTTATTCATTTGGTTTGCAGCATACTTCTCAAATTTTTAGTACATTTTAATTCCTTAGCGTTTTTCATTAATGATTGTTTGAGGTTTATCCAAAAAAAGTCACAAAGTTACCTAACAATTAGCAGAAAAGTCTGTTTTCGGTGGAATCCTTAACCTTTCTCATGCTGTAAGACCCAGGTAAAGCAAGCTATTGGGTTATTCAAATTGAATGCTTTTAGCACAGTGCCTTAACAAAGATACTTTGCTTTAAGTAACTAATTACTGCAGCACTTCAAGCATTCAAGGCACTGATTCAGTCACATTCAACTTTTCTACTCCAAAGTAAACTTCTTTTGATTGTGGAAATGTAGGTTTCCTGCATGGTCTGTGTACAGTTAAATGGTTTGAATGTCTCTCCTCTTTTTTTTTTTAATATGACCATAACTTCCTCAGATTTCAGGGCAGTCTGCATTGCAGTATGTAATAGCACCTTATTTTTATGCTGAATTTGAAAACAAATATGGCAGGAAAGTGAACTTGGAATTGAAAGTTTTAATCAAGTAACTTAAAATACCCTTTGTGTAGCAAGATAGTGTTGAGGGAGTTGTTTCAGTCAGGTGATGTTACTGCCCGGTGACTGGGAAATTTGCTGAGTGAAGACATAGTTTTGAAATAATCAGTGACTTTCCAGTCCTCTGAGTTTTCTCATAAGTCTTAATATTGATACAGTTTGGAAATTGTAATGCATGCATACAATACCTCGTCCTATCAGCTTCCCTTATCTGACTTAAAACTTTAACATCCTTCTAGAATTTGGAGTGAAAATAGGTCCAAACTGGTTTTTGACAGCTGCCTCAAAAACATGTCACAGAGCACATTTTCTTTATGCTACTCTTTTGACTTTCCAGGTCAGCTGACTGGCACTGGCAATGGAAAGTTCAGATCAGGAAGTACTGTTGATTCTTGGCAAAAATCTGTATAAATTATCTTATGCCATTGGCACTGTAGAAATTCTTTTGAGGGGGAGGTTTTAATTGTTGCTAGTTATTCATGCAGTTGAACAAAGTGATGAATTGGTTATACAATTGCTGTGGCAAAATTTAGCTCCCTGATCACAAAGAAATGCTACATGTGTCAGGAAGTTCAGCTTAACCAGAATTGCAACAGAAAATAATATTTATGTAAGTACAAGGACTCCTATGGGTGCAAAGATGCTTATAGGAATAGTCACCTTTATTACTCATAATATTGACCTTTAGTCTACAGATAATCACCATAATCTCTCTGTGTTGGATGGTAGAGCTTCCTGTAGACCAATATCAAATGCTTAAGTGTGACCTGTATCTACCTGAGCAGTGGAATTCCAGTCTCTTAAATTACTTGCCCAGGAGAAGTAACTGAACACTGAGAGTTCAGTGGTTTCATAGTGCTTTGAGGCAACAATGATGCTTCAAGTCACTTTTTAGCCTAAGTAGTAGAATTTGTGGGGATTGGTCGCTGCAATTTGGATTTTTCATCTGAATAATCTGCACTCTTTTAGTGGCACATAGCATTTGTTCAGTTGGCACAACTGTCATCTTCAAAAGCTGAGTTACATATGTAGTATTATATTGGGTGAGTTATATGTGCAGATAAATAATTATTTTTGATCCGTTTAAATAAAGTTGTTTGGAATTTTGCCTTTGCCAGTTTGCCAGTATTTTACTAACAAATAAGCATTCTAGCTATGTCCTTTTTCATAATCCAAAATACTTTGTCACCCCTTTCAAAATGTTATTTTGTCTTTTTATACATTGACTTTCGGTATCCATTTAGTATAACACATAGAAAATAGGAGTTTTGCTGTTAACTTCAATTTTTCAAGCTCCTCAGTTATTGCACATTAATGTCTAGTAACTAATGTGTAATAATATTAAAGGTTAAATGATTGTGTCCCAGGGGCAACGTCATATTAGCCTAACCTTAGATGCATAAGGAAAATTTTAATTGCATGTATACTTTGTCTTAATACTAAAAAAACCATTCTAGAAGCTCTTATCAGATCAGCTTGTTTTCCTGTGCCTAAGGACAATCATTTTGCCTCTGAGTAGCAATGGATCAAAATAATATTGGAATTGTTGCTTATGCTCACTGTTAGAACTCACATCTCGTAACTCTAGTTATTTCTGTTATTAAGCTTTATGAAGCCATTGCTGACCAGGAGAGATCCATGTGCCAATGTACTGTTTGTGCATGTGGCTGAGAAAGGAGAGAAATAAAAAAAATATCTAACATAGAACATTGTGGTCTTCTGCTGATAAAGTTTGGGTTTGCTGTACTGTGTGAGATTGATACAAATGCATAATATTATGAATATAAATACACACTCTAATATCTTTGATTCCACAAAACACCCCATCTTGGTTCTGTTTGTTCCTTTAGTTGTTTGATCATAATTATTTCCCAAATAATCGGTGTTCTTATTTTCTGTTATCCTTTGTGAGTGCAGTTCTCTGTCTAGAGGTAACATCTTGGCTAACCACTAACATAGACATCCAGTCTTTTGCTGGATTTGCTGCTGCTTTATTCTCAGTAAGGAGGTTGGTGGAGATGGAATGAAACATAATTAGAAAGTTTCTTAAAGTGAAAACAGAGAATGTTTTGAATCTATGAACTCCTGGATGTTTTCTTTTTTGATGCTTCCATCCATTTTGTTTTCTGTCTGAGAAATGTCTGGGTATTTGAGGGTTTTTAACACAATTTGTGTTTGAAATGCTCCTTTCAAACAATTTTAGAAAATTCTGCATGTTATGAAATTTAATCTTCTGAAAACCACAGTGGTGAGCAGCCCAAAGTCTGTTGGTTGCAGATAACAAAATTACTGGCAGGGTGGTGGTGGCTTCTGTCTTTTAAATCAGATGGACACTGATCTTTGGCCAGTGAATTGATTTATCTGTTACATCTACAATGAAATGTGGTTATCAGCTGCAAAGATCACTGCCAGCTGATGCTGGAACTGGGATTTCTTGCCTTCCCCACTGTTCTCTAAACATGTGGAAGTACTGTGGAGTGCTGTAGGCCATGTGGTATGGACACCCTCTTTCCCAGGATGGATGAGAATTCCTACCTGTAATCCACTCAGCTAGTTCTGAGGTCTACTTGTTTAAGTGCTGAAAGAAAGGAGAACAGGTTGGAAATCAGATCTTTGTTTCTTTAGGGCAGGCTATGGGATCAGCTGAGTGGCAATGAGGAATGCTGCTCTTCCCCCTGACACCCCTTGTTTTCTTGTTTTGCTCCTTACTGTGGAAGAGCAGTTCTGGTTTCTGCAGTCAAGATCAGTGCTCTGATCTACAGCTACAGCAGTTGAGACACTTGGAGAGTGTTCTGCAGAGGTGATGAATCCCCAGCTCTGAATTTGATAGTGTTCATGGCATGTGGGTCTTGGACACAAGCTCTGCAGTTTGCTTTTGTCATCTGAATATTTCTAGTGTTGTTTAAGAGAAGCATTTTTGGTCATGTCTTGATAATACTTAAATTACAATCTAATTATTTATTTGGGATATTTCCTTTCTTGAACTTTTCTGGGGGCTTTTAGGTTATATGCTCTGTGTAACAGGTTTTTTTTTTGCTTGTACCAACATTTTTCCACATAGTTATTGTTAGGAAAAAATCAATACTATTTTTAGGGGTTTTTTTAAGTATTGAAATAATTGGTGTAGTTATTGGCTAGTGTGCTTGGACTATAGTATTGAGTTTTACTTGGTGTTTTAGTGTTAAATATAGAAAAGAATATCAGCTGGTTGTGGGGGGAAACCAGGGTTATGCATATTGTAGTTATACTGTAGTTGAGGGTCTCTGCTGTGCATTTTGGGCAGGTGTTTATTTACCTTCTGTCTTGCTGCAGATATTCTCCCTCCAACACACTGAGCTGCTCACATTGCTTTGATGTTTTCCATGCATATTTTAGCCATATAATCCTCATAAATTGGCTGCTTTAGTGACTCCTAAGAATTGTTGATACATCAGAAGATAGACAAATATTGTCAGAAACTTAATCTGTGTTCTGTTCAAGATGTTGTAGGAAAATTTGGATCTTGCATCAAAGATGTGTCTCTTAAATTGATTTCTGAACTATTTGGTGCAAAGTTTCTTTCTTTTCCTCTAACACTTTTATTTTCATTTCAGTCAAACTCAGCGAAGTCCCCACGTGTTTTACCGACATGACTTAATCAATCAACTTCAGCACAATCACGCCCTCGTCACACTGGTTGCAGAAAACCTCTCTGCCTATATGGAAAGCATGAGGCAGTATGCTAAAGGTGAGTTTTAACATCAGAGTTGCTTCGTGGAGTATAAAACTCCAATTGAAAATGGAGGTAAAAGTAAATTCCCACAATAAAATAACTATTAAGTTTATTTGTTTAATTTTCAAGCATCTGTGGGGTTAATAGCCTTTGTGGTGACTGTGTAAGAAAAGCTTAAAATACTATTTTTTTCTTTTTTATAATTGAAAATGTGTGTTTTACAGCAGAATGTGAGAAAGTGGCAGCCATTGTTTGTGTGTGGATTGATACAAATCATCTTGCCCTACTTAGGCTAGGGTAGTTTTTTTGTGGAAGGTTCTAATAGTAAACTTCTAGTTTTGAATTTTGAAGTCTCCTTTGACAAGTTTTTTAAGCACCTCAGTTTGCAGCCAATATTTGGAATTTGTCAGGGAGAAGGACTTCAAACCACAGTGATACCATTTATATTTCCTGTGTAACTCCCATGTCTGTTCAGGCTCTTTCACCATGTTTGTTATTGGGAGCACTTGGGCAGCACATTTTGTTAGTAGTTTTGTATTTTAGACTAAATCCAGCTCTTTGCTGATGAATTTACCCTCTTACTCTGGATTAACTTTTAGCTACTGAGGTAGAAGCCTGGAAATGAAAGAGAATGGTGGGCCAGGAAACTCAGTACACTGGACCACAGTTCTTTAAATATAAAATTATGCCAGCAGAAGTGAAAGGAGGAGATTTACACTCCTCCTTCCCCACTACTGACTTTACAGACTGGAATCCAAGGACTCTTCTACCCTGCCCTATAACAGCCTGGCAGCCTTTCTGTTGCATCTCAAAATGACACAGTATGTTCTGGAGGGATTCAGTGTAGGTCATTCAGGGAGGAGAGGATATTTGTACATTGGAAAGCTTGTAGCTGCCAGTGCACAGGAAAGTGGCCTTTTTGGAATTTAGGTGTTTTGGAGTATTATGTGTATATATATTTATGTAGATATATATATATATATGTGTATGTATATATATTATGTAAGAGATATCCAAAATACATACTTGTGGACTTGTATAAAAAGTAGTGAAGATGGTCACTTCAGTGAGGTGTAAGCCAGTGAGAATAACATTCAGTTAAATCTGCATACTGCTACTGTATTTCTCTTTTCAAGAATACATAGGAGGTTTACTCTAATTGAAGTACCTTATGATAGCATTGCACTAATTAATATTAAAATAATGGTAAATTATTTGGTCTGTTCTCAGTATTAGTGTAGGAATTATTTTTAATTTATCTTATTTTTTAATTCTTGAGCCAAAAGGTCATTTTTGAAAATATTGTTTATGTATCAAATTGTTGAGGGCAGAAGAATTAGGCTGATGACTTGTATGATTCTTTTCCTTTCCCAAAAGCCCACATTGCCCTGCCCCTCCCCAGCTGTAGTGACTCAGTTAAGCAGTAATACAAACATCTTCAATGCCATAGGAATTACAAGTGTGAAAAGGGTTTAAATTTAATCTAATTACCAAGCAATTAAAATGCTCTTTCTTGAGATGAAACTGCTGCAGAACCTCTCATTTGTATCAGAGTACAAAAGCAGAACAATAATAGTGTGTGGTTTTTTATTGGGTACTTTATTACATTATTAAGGGCAACCAGGAAATCTTCCTCATGTTGCAGATACTGTGCTCAGACTGTAATCCACAGTTCCTGTGCAAAAACTCTTTAATTTTCAGTTTTATATACTAACTAGAGCAGAACATAGAATACTGTGATGTTTGTCTTCTATGCCTTCATGGAGGGGGAAAAAATATGTCAAGGGGCCATATAAATGAAAGGGGATGGAAGAAGATTATACATGTGAAGACAGAAATAACTGGAAGCTGTAGAATTAAGCTTGGCTGGAGGTAAATGAGGGAGAGGGGGGAAATTCAAGGCAAAGATACAAACAGCACAGGTCAAATAAATCCCATAGAAATAAAAAATCCAGTTGTTGACAGATATTCTTGGCACCTAACACTGCAATTACTGTGCAATTTGTATATTTTAAAATTAATTTTGAATTTGCCATGTATTTGTTTTCCTTGAAGTCTTCCCTAGTTGTGTTCAGTGATGGGAAACACTCTTTCTATTCTTCTGTTATTCACTAATGCATAATGTTTTCTGAGATACTCCCCTTTAGTATGTTTGCCTTTTTAGGGTTAAAGGGAAGCCTAATCTAAGTTCCTGAATTTTTTCCATGCTCTGTGATTTTCCCTTCTCTTGAACTCATCCCTTCCTTCAGCTCTGCAAAGTCCTTCAAGAGATAAGACAACTGCTCTTGGATTTTGTTGTCCTAAAGAAGGTCACAGTTTCATCTTTTCAGATTTATCAAAGATCTTTTCAAAATTTCAATTCTCCTTTATTTCTCTTTTTCTGCAGTAGTAAAAAATCCAAAGTGTTAATGAAATGGTTTGGTAAAAACTGTACCATATGATCTTCTCTGTTTATCACTAATTATACTTAAATTTTCAACCAGTTGTTTTCTGCTCCAGTGTGTAAGAGGAATTTTTAAGATTACACTTTGACTTGTTGTGGGATGTACAGAGTAGAAAATAAATCTGGGAGATGTAGAAAGAATGTGATACAGAAAAGATTTAGGGAAGTAGAATTTTTTTGTAGTTCAGTTTTTCAGAATTCTGAAGTACATCCACAGTGCCTTTCTGCAGCTGGCTGGATTTGAGTTCTCCTGTCATTGCCACTGTTGATGTTGTGTCTGTGAATTAAACTTTAGTCAGGAAGAAAAAGCCCAGGTAGTTCCCACAGTGAAAATAAACAAACATCACCACCTCCCCCTCAACAAATGAAAATCAAACAAAAAATCCACCCTCAACACCCAACACTTCAAGTAATCTATTTTAATTTCTCTGCAATATGCTTATCTATCCCGATTTTTTTTTCTGCTGGAGACAGAGCATATTTTACTGGATTTCTGCTTCTAATTCTTAAATAATTTTTGTTCACATACTTTTATGTTATTTCTTCAGATTTTTTCACATTTCTCCTTTTGCCAATTGCTCATTTATGATCATTTAATGAAAGTTACTATTTAATTTTTAAGGATTTCTGATGAACATAATGTCTTCAGTTTTACAGACATTAGTTAACTATTGGTCTTCTGTTTCCCCTCTCACTCAATATTTAAGTAGTGTAAATTTATTTAAGTGTATCCTTTTACACTAGGATATAGAGAGGAGTATTATTGCACTTCTCTTTATTTTGAAGCACTGATGTACTTCTTTTTACCCCCTGCCTGATGTAATAGGAGATATTGATTTTGAGCTCTGAAGATAAATTTACTATTAGTCTTGATGTTGTCATGAGGTGGTCTACTGTGGCTGGGTCACCTTAGTTAAAGGCAATCTGTACATCTTTGCAAATAAAAAATAAAGCGTTAATTAGTTTATAAAGGAGCTGTCATAATGTATGTGTCATGATGAAATACTGCTGGTAGAAATGAAGGTAATGCAAGTGCAGATCTAGATTGTATCTCTTTAATTAACAAAATCTAAACAACATCCAGCTACCAAACAAAACCACACCAAAACCATGTTCCTGTGAATAAAATTGCTGTTTGTTAAGAAAATATTATGATGTACTTTGACAAAATGCAAGTAAAAATTTGACTTCATGCCTTACTTTCAAAAGACAACTTCTGTTTCAAGCTTGTCAGTATTACAGGCATTTGGGTTTTATGTTTGGAAACTTGCAGTACATAAAGTTGTCTTATACTTTCTCCCTCTGAGTGATGTGTGCATAGCTATGTATAAAGGTGGTAAAGAAATGGAGTCATGATTTCCTCTGGAGAGGAAAAAGCCTGAAAAATAGAACAATGAAATTTTGGAAAAGATGCTGTATAACAAAACTAAAGCATCCTCAGAAAAAAAGCACTGGATAATTGAGTTACATGCTTGGTATACTTCTATTTTCAACTGACTTCTGACTTCAAACTGACTACTTGAGAATAGGAAAAATTTATTTGAATAAGTAGAGTTCAAGTTCTTAATTGTTCTGTAACACTTTAATTATGCTGAACAATGACCACATAATTGTTGATTTGATTATAGACCTCAGGAGTCTTTGCCTGTGTTTAGCACAGGAAGAAGCATTAACTGGTAGCTGCTGAAAACTCTTTTCATAAGCCTCACTGAAAATGTACTGGGTTTGGATTATGTTCAGAGGAACAAGTCTTCAAACACATCCTGTCTTCTGGAGTCAGCATCACTTTTCTGAGTGTGGTGTCTAATAAAACCCTTTATTTGCAGAGCATGGTGAGTATGATCCCCAGACTGTGAGACCAAGCAGCCGATACAGTCACGTGCAGGAGGTGCAGGAGCGACTGAACTTCTTACGGTGAGTTTTGTCTTGAACATTTCTTTGACTTCTTAAGAGCACTTTGAATGTTTTTTCAAGAGAAACATTTTGCATTTCTCTCTCTTCTATAGCTTTAATTTGTTTAGTTAGCTTCTTTCAAAACTCAGATGCAAAAATATGTTGAATGTGTCGTATTTGGTTTGGTTTTTTTCGTGGAGGGCTTTTATGCTGCTGTTGGAATATTCAAATAAAGTCTATTAGACTGTTTGGAATCCAACGCTCTTATTCTGCACTAAGATTTGTCTTTTTTCCTGTCTGTGTGCAGAACCTTACTGACTTAAATATAGTGTGTGGTGGATACAGTTACATCCCTATTGGGATAACTTAGTTTAAAATTTTAAATACTCCAAGTAAGGATATGGCTGTGTGTCCTTACTTGTAGCACACCAGAATTAAATCCATGATCATAAACTGACAAATACTTTTCTCAGTCAGTGATGTTGTGTTGGCAGCAACTGAGTCCCAGAAAGAAAGTTCAGTAAAAAAAATTATTTGGATTATTTTGGCCTGCTCCTGTTGGAGTAAAATAAGAAAACAAAAGATCCCTGCTCATCACAGAGCTGCAGAATGCTGATGCTTTTTAGGCTGAATCTCAGCTTTTTCCTACTTGGTTTTAACCTTGTTTTAAATTAGTAAAAATACTTGAACTGTCATGTTTGACTTATTTTTTCCTTGTTTTCTAAAGGAGATTTTTTTTTTTTACTTTTTAAAATTTTACTGAGAATTTTAAGTAACTAAACTGAAGTGTTAACTGTTTAATGAAATTATAAGTAAGTGTAAGTGTATAATAGCACACTTACTGTATCACTCCTGCATGTTCAAAATTGTGACTTCCTTAGATTTAATTTCATTATTTGCTAATGTACAAAAATTTATGAAGTTCAATGGATGTCAGATGTAGAATATGTTTGTAGCAATTTCTGAAAAGCAGTGCCATAACTCAGTCCCTGCTTTCTTATACATAAAAATTTTTTAAAATAATAAAAATTAATCTAAAGAACTTTATCGTTTGTTCCTCCTGAAGCATCCTTACTGCTAGCTCTCAGAATTGAAGTTCTTAATAATTATTTCGTAATCATTTAATGTAAATTAAAAATTTGCTTAAGTAAACGGAGAAATTTCCAGTTCATTGATTTCTGCTTCTGGCTCTGCTCCGTGCTACTGATACCTTTTTTGCAATTTTGCTAAATCAAGTCTTAAAACTTGGTGAATCATTGCAGAATTAATTTATTCTCATAAATTCTGATTTTTAAACTAAATAGTTTACACTAGGAAATTGCATTTCTTTGTATATAAAATGTAAACAGTGCTTGGTATTTTTGTGTAAGGCACTTTTTTACTGAATTGTGTTCTTTTTTTGTTTGAAATTGATTGGTCTTGATTCATTGAAACTTATTAAGATATCATGGGGCTGATTATGAGTGGACTGTTGATGTAAATATACTTTTCATACTTGTGATAAATACATGTATAATGTGCATATCCAACCTTGTGCCTGTACTTTTTACTGAATTGTAACTCTGGATGTGTATTAGACAGTGCTGTTAATTGTCTCTTTGTTTTGCTCAAGATTTTTGTTGAAGGATGGTCAGCTGTGGCTCTGTGCCCCTCAGGCGAAGCAAATATGGAAGTGTTTAGCAGAAAATGCGGTTTATCTTTGTGATCGCGAAGCCTGTTTTAAATGGTATTCCAAACTAATGGGGGATGAACCAGACTTAGACCCTGACATTAATAAGGACTTCTTTGAAAATAATGTGCTTCAGCTGGATCCTTCCCTATTAACAGAAAATGGAATGAAATGTTTTGAACGTTTCTTCAAAGCTGTGAACTGTCGAGAAGGAAAGCTAGTAGCAAAGAGACGAGCCTATATGATGGATGACCTGGAATTAATAGGATTAGACTACCTTTGGAGGGTGAGTTAATTGAAGGAAGCATCTGAGAGGTCAACTGCTAAGACTTTCTCAGTCTTTTTATGCTTTTAGGAATGTGTAATTTATTAGTAATGGACTGAAATCTCAAAAATCTAGTTTTTCCAACTAAATACATGGCTTTTGACTCCACTGTCTTCCCAGCAAGTATGCAAGTTGGTAACTTTGCAGACTGATGTTAAAGGGAAAGTTATTTGAAACATAAGTATGTATGCACATGAAATTTAAATTTTGCCAATACTGTTGAAGAAGAAAAGATCCTTCCAGGTGAATTATCTGTAGATTTCTCTCTTTTTTTTTTTTTTTCACATGCACATTATAATTAAGCTTCGTTTCATGCACTTCATAAGCTATTCCTTCTAGTGTGGTAAATTGGAATGATTCTAGATCAGACCAAGTGATCACTGGTCTGATTCTTCCTCTTATAACCACAAAAATTTGGCTAAATGTGGTGGTTTTCTAGGATCTATAGATTCCATATAACCACCTATTCTCTGTATATAGAACCTTCCTTTTCAGTAGAAAGGTTGAAGCTTCCTGAAGCTTGCCAAATCTGTTGGTGAAAACCATCAGTATTTAAGCTGTAACCTAATTCTTTCAGAGTATTTCTCTTCTCAAGAGCGGCATTAGAGCCCGCAGTGGTGCACTGTGATATAATTATCATGGCTGTGTGTTTGTAAAATGTGTACAGCAGCAGTCTTCAGTAACTTTGGTTGTGGCTTGTTGAAGGGTGGGGTATTGTAATCCTGGTGGTAATAGTTATAATTAAAGTAGATTACGAGTTTTCTACAAATAAGTTCACATCTTGTTTGTGAACAGAGTCCCCAGAGAATGTTAGCATGTTTTAGTTTTGGGAATCAACTTACTCTATCGGCATGACAAAACTCACAAAGCTTCAGCTCAGTACCCTGCAGGGTTTGTCTGTAAAATCTGCTGTCAGACCTGGTGACTAGTAATTAAAATTTAGATTATCAGGTTAGAAAGGGAATTCATTTGCTTGTTCCCTTTCCACCCATTCAGAGCCATTTAAATACTTGAAAAATCTGTCTAGTGATGCTGATTGTTGAAGCATCTGAAGAAGTTTTCTTATTCTCTGAAACAAGAGAATATTTGGAATGTTATGTGAACATGAACATATAAACACTGCTTTTACTCTGTTTATAGAACATCATCCTTTTTTGCCAACTCTGAACTTCAAAACTAGTTAATTATTAATTTTTTTCTCATATAATCATCTTAAGTGTAAGTTTTATTGATTGTATTTTGTAAGTGAGCATTTTAGTCCCTTTCACCTCATAAGATAATTAGACAATGCTAATGTGTCAAGATTCTTACGTAGTAGTTTTGGTTTGCATTTTTCCACCAGCAAGTTTTAAGAGATGCTAATGCTTTTTCTTCAATTGTGCTAGGTTGTGATTCAGGGAAATGATGACATCGCAAACCGAGCAATAGACCTTCTTAAGGAGATCTATACTAATCTTGGCCCAAGGTTACAAGTTAATCAGGTAAGAAAAAGCAACAAGAAGACTGAACAGAATAAAAATAAAAATAGTCTTTAAAAATGGTCATTAAATAATAGTCTTAAACATCAGTTTTGTGATATTTTTGTAGTTGAAAGATTTTAAAACAGGAAATAGTTTCCATGTTTTGGCGGGTGAGTCCAACCATCAAATTCTGGGCAGATGCAGAACTAAAGTTTTTTCTCATTTTTGCAGACTGAACTCTCATTAATTTTTCTTACTAAGTGCATCTGCTGTATTTGCTCTTGTTACTCAGAAAACAGTTAATGTCATAAGAGGAAAGCCTTTTGTTGCACTGCAAATTGTGGCACTTACTCCTACAAATATGTCCAGGGGCTGGGTCTGTGGGTGTTGTCACAAGCTAATGTAATCTCTTGTTTCTGGTGTGCCCCTTACAAAGGGTCACTGAGTTTCTATGTGGTCAAGCTGAGGTCTAACAAATCAGATATTACCTCCCTGTATTAATATTTGCTGGGAGCTGTAGTTCAGTGGACAGAGAAGAGATACTGGGTTTCTGCAAGGGAAAGGGATGTAATGTCCTGTCAAGGACATTAGAGGGTCCTTGACAGGCTTGAGTAGCGGACCCTTGAGAACCTTGTGAAGTTTGACAAAGCCAAGTGCAAGGTTCTGCAGCTGGGTTGAGGCAATCCCCAGCAAAATACAGGCTGGGGATGAACAGATCGAGAGCAGCCCCGGAGAGAAAGACTTGGGGGTGTTGGTTGACGAGAAGCCCAAAATGCACTGGCAGCCCAGAAAGCCACCTGTGTCCTGGGCTTCATCAACAGCAGCATGGGCAGCAGGTCCAGGAAGGGGGTTCTGACCCTCTTGTTTGCTCTGGTGAGACCCCACCTGCAGTGCTGCTTCCAGCTCTGGGACCCCTGACATGGGAAGGACGTGGACCGGCTGGTGGGAGTCCAGAAGAGGCCATGAAAATAATCAAGAGCCTTCCAACCTAAACCATTCTGTAATTATGTGACTGCACAAATTTAGTGGAGGAATATTCTCCTTTAGACAATCTCCATTTGATAACTTTCCAGGTGTATTTCTTAAAACGCTGATGTTGTACTTGTCTTCAAAATCACTTTCATAATCATCAGAGCTGCCAGTCTGCCAGGTCCAGCACAGCTGCTCTAGGTGGTGAATTCACAGCCATTCAAGCTGTATTTTCCTGCAGTGGCAGATGGCTGGAGGCTTCTGTCTTGCTGTAGGTCTGGGCTTACAAAGCATGCATTGATCTGTCTGTCTGCACATGCTTAGCTCTGACACTTCCAGAAGTGCTGGATTTACATGTACACAAGAATTCTTTAATATAGTCTGAGACAAGAAGAAAGTAAAAGTCCATTTCAATGTTCTCTGTCCAAATTTTCAGTTTTTCTCTTTACATACAGTATGGTTACAGCTGCTGATGATGTGAGATTATTGAAGTGCACACTAAATTAGAGCTATCTATTGATGGGAGTTGCTGGAATAAAACAGGTGTATTGAGTAACTTACCTGTTTTGTTTTGGGGAATTTTTTTTCTCTATTTGGTCATCCTTCTGAAAAGATGGATTCTAATATGTCTTGTAATTACACCAATTTCTTAATGTAATTAGGTAGTGATTCATGAAGACTTCATTCAGTCCTGTTTCGATCGTCTAAAAGCCTCCTATGATACATTATGTGTGTTGGATGGAGATAAAGACAGCATCAACTGTGCAAGACAAGAAGCAATAAGGATGGTGAGAGTGTTGACTGTTTTAAGGGAGTATATAAATGAATGTGACAGTGATTACCACGAAGAGAGAACTATTCTACCTATGTCAAGGTATGTGTGAAGAAGCAGTATCATGATTTTGATTTCTGTTAAACTAAAACAGTACTATTATCCTTGGCATTTTTACATTCTAAATGGTTTCCGTTCAGGAAATGGTTTTGCGGTGTTTCAGAATTCCCTTTTCTTTGCTAATATATGAAACTGTATTTAATTTTTTTTTCTTTGAAAGATCAGGCAAATACAAGTATATATGAAGGGGGCAGCAGGCCTAAGAATAAACTTGGTGGTTTCTTTTGTAACCAGCACAACATACCTTGAGGCTCAATTGTTTTGGATACAATTCTTTATTTCAGATAATTACTTAATAGCAATACTATTCTTTACATTAGCATTGGCAAAACTTTTTTGTTTCTCATAGTCTTATTGTATAAAAACATGTTATAAATATATATATATACACCTTCCAGAATTGTTTACAGAGATCTCAGTCTTACTTTGCAAGATTAAATTTTTAATTATCTCTAAGTGAAATATTCTGTAAGCTCCTCACAAGAAGGGGAAGAAGAGAACCAGTACTTTGAAGTATATTTATTTTCTGTACACCTTCACTTTTCTTATACTTGTCCTTGAGTGAAAACTTAGCTTAAATCCTTGGTGTCTCTATGGGTTTATGATGAGCTAACATATTTTTAAACACAGTGGAGATTTTTCATCCACTTACTTTAAATGACCTTTTTGTCAAAAAAAATGAAGCGATTGCTGTTTATGGTGTGTCAGTAATTTGCAGTATTGCTACAGCTTTTTTACTGCATATATTGATTGATGAGTCCTAACAAAGTTTTCTTGTTGATTGTGAGTACATTTTTTTTTATGGGCTGCTTATTTGATTAGACTAATCTTTAACAGGTCCTGTTAGCAAGGAGCCTTATGAGGAGTTTTTGCCTTTTGTTACATTGGATTCGTTTGTTGGGCTTATCTGGGCACATCTTTCCTAATGAGCTCTCTGCCATTGTGGGAAGTCTGATCACTGCTAATGTGAAACCATTTCTTCCTTTTTTGACCATTTAAACTTTTTTTTAAAAGAACGTGATTTTAAAAACTGGAATTCTAGTATAAAACTTCTAGCAGCTTTTGATAGAAGGCATTAAGGCTCAGCAACCTGATGGGTTTTTCTGATCTTGGTGTATTTAAAGCTTGAGCTGCTTTGCTAAAAGAGCAAAACATCATTGCCAGTCTGATTAAGGTTTGTTTGCACATTTTGATCAGGAAGTTACAAGACAGAGAAGAGATTTAAAAATTTACAGGAGACTTCTAAAATTTCTGTCAGTGTTCCTAACCTGACTGTAAATCTGACCATATGTTTAATGCATTTGTACTGAGTGTGCCTTCTTGAAAGATTCTGTGTATGTTGTTGCCATAGTTGCTGGGGCTTTCACTAAATCTTACACTGGAAAATACCATGTAAAGATTTGATGTTGAAATACCTGCTGCAAAAAGTGCAGGAAGGAAAAGAATTTATTTCATGAGGGCAAAAATAACTTCTGCTTTTCTGTTTATTTTCAGAGCTTTCCGTGGTAAACATATCACACTTGTGGTTCGTTTTCCAAACCAAGGCCGGCAGGTGGAAGATTTGGATATTTGGTCTCACACAAACGACACGATCGGCCAAGTGCGCCGTTGCATCCTCAACCGCATTAAAGCCAACAGTGCACACACAAAAGTGGAGCTGTTCATTGGGGGAGAGCTGGTAGATCCTGCAGATGACAGAAAATTAATTGGGCAGCTGAATCTCAAGGATAAAACGGTAAGGGTTGCAGGCTGGGTATTTACATCAATTCAGATGTTCCTTCAGATTTGTAAATGCTTGAAAAATACCATGCATGGTGTCAGTTATTTTTGTGAAATAATTCCATTCTTCCTTCTTGTATTATGCCATTAACATTATGCTTATTTGGAAAAGAATCTTAATTTTTGGAGAGTATTAAAACTATGATTGTTTTTTTCAGCTAATTACAGCTAAGCTTACACAGATAAATTCTAATATGCCCTCAAGTCCAGATAGTTCTTCTGACTCTTCAACTGGTTCTCCGGGCAACCACGGCAATCACTACAGTGATGGTCCAAATCCAGAAGTTGAAAGCTGTTTGCCTGGAGTGGTAAGTATTTTCTGAAATTAAGAGTTGAAGGATGGTTTTTTCTTACGCTTTGTCTTGTGCTAACAATTTTTTTTTTGTTTCCTTATTTTAAGATCATGTCACTGCATCCTCGATACATCTCTTTTCTTTGGCAAGTTGCAGACTTGGGCAGTAGTCTAAATATGCCACCTCTTAGAGATGGAGCTCGTGTTCTTATGAAGCTCATGCCACCAGGTAAAACTTAACTTTATCCTTTTTTTTAATCTTCTAATATGCTGTATAATAATTTCTCACCTGATACATAAAAGTGAAGATAGGGGAGTATTTTCTACTTTGTGGTAATTTATTGGTACTGTTATCCTAATTAGGACTGTAAAAGATTTCCTAAGTAGTTATTTCTTATCTGCTATATGAAGTTGCATAGTTTGGTACTGGTAGTGCCATAGTGCAGTGAATATGGGGAGCATTGTATTTTAAGGTGATTTTGTAGCCCTGCTTTAATAGGATTACTTTTGACTGTAAGAATCATTGGAGAACACTCTGTAGTCTGATTTTGTCTGTAAGTTTTTGCAACTGTTTTCAGATTTATAATTGTAAATAGTACTGGCTTGTTGTGGAGTAGTTTTGCTGAAAAATGCTTATAAGTTGTGTTTTTATTGCAGATAACACTACGGTTGAGAAATTAAGAGCAATTTGTTTAGATCATGCAAAGCTTGGGGAAAGCAGCCTTAGTCCATCCCTTGATTCTCTGTTCTTTGGTCCTTCTGCTTCACAAGTGCTGTACCTAACAGAGGTTAGTGATGCTTTGCCTGTTCTTTAAAATTGCCAATTTCTTCTGTGGCTGTCCTCTCTGTAACATTATAGAAGCCTAGATCAAATTCTGGTTTGTAATAAACAGTTGAAAATACTAAACAATTTATTGGCATAAATGTGTATGGCCAGTGCTGTCAAAGCATTGCTTATGTAGTATTGCTACAAATTCTCATGTTCAGTGATCTATATCCAAGCTGGTGCATTTCCATTAGTTAACTCTGTATTTTCTTCTACAGGTAGTTTATGCCTTGTTAATGCCTGCCAGTGCACCTCTGGGAGAAGATGCCAGTGACTTCCAGTACAACTTCCTGAAAAGTGGTGGTTTGCCTCTTGTGCTGAGCATGCTGACCAGAAATAACTTCCTGCCAAATGCAGATATGGAAACTCGAAGGGGTGCCTACCTTAATGCTCTAAAAATAGCCAAATTATTGCTAACAGCAATTGGATATGGCCACGTTCGAGCAGTGGCAGAAGCTTGTCAGCCAGTTGTGGAAGGCACAAGTACAATTTCACCGGTAATATAAATCTTCCTTGCTTCAAATAGCATTGTGCTCTGTGTTTTATAATGTGTGCAGCAACATCTCCTTACTTTTCATTGACAATCTGTTCCTTGAGTGCATTGCACATCAAGGAGTCACAGTACTTTTAGATAATGTTTTGCAATTCTAAAAAAGATATCAACTTACTAAACAAGTCCTATTTCTTGGTGACTGTAAAAAGTTTGGTGTGAGATGCACTTGCTCTGTATATGATTTTCAGTGGTTTCCATGCTTGTCAGTACACGTAACTTCTCATTTTTAACTCTGTTCATCCTTCTGGACAAAGTGTCCATCACACAGCAGGACAAACACACCATGTGATGTGTGAGCAGCTGGCTCACAGGTTGGGCACAAAGGGTTGTAGTGAACAGTGACAGAGTGGTGACCTGTCACAGGTGGGGCTCTGCAGGGCTCCATCCTCAGCCCTGTGCTCTTCAACATCTTCATAAAGATGCAGGCCTGGATGCAGGACTGGAAGGGATACTGAGCAAATTTGCAGATCATACAAAACTGAGAGGAGCTGTTGATGCCCTGGAGGGCAGGGAGGCCTTGCAGAGAGGTCTCAGCAAATCAGAGGACTGGGCAATCACCAACCATCCAGAGTTCAGCAAGGGCTGGGGCCAGATGCTGCACCTGGGATGGGCAACCCTGCGAGTATGGACACACAGAGGAATGAGATCCTGGAAAACAGTGACACAGAAAGGGACCTGGGTGTCCTGCTTGGTGGCCAGTTCAATATGAGCCAGCAGTGCCCTGGCAGCCAGGAGGGACATCCCTGTCCTGAGGGACATCAGGCACAGCAGCGGCAGCCTGGCAAGGGAGGGGATTGTCCTGCTCTGCGCTGGGCTGGAGCAGCCTCCCCTCGAGTGCTGGGGAGAGTTTTGAGCACCATGATAGAAGAAAGATACAAAACTCTTTAGCATTCCAAAGGAGGGCCACAGGCATGGTGTGAAGGGCCGTGAGGGGAAGCGGTGTGAGGAGCGCTGAGGGCGCTTGGTCTGTTCAGCCTGGAGGAGACTGAGGAGACCTCACTGCAGTTACAGCTTCCTCGTGAGGGGAACAGGAGGGGCAGGCACTGATCTCTGCTCTGTGGTGACAGGACCTGAGGGAATGGCCTGAAGTTGTGTCAGGGGAGGTTTAAGTTGGATATTAGGGAAAGGTTCTTCCCCAGAGGGTGACTGGGCACTGAACTGGCTCCCTAGGGCAGTGGTCATAGCACCAGCCTGGCAGAGCTCAAGAAGTGTTTGTACAATGCACTCAGGCACATGCTGTGACTTCTGGAGATGGTTCTGTGCAGGGCCAGAAGTTGGACTGGATGATCCTTGTGGGGCCCTTCCAACTCAGCATATTCTGTGATAACTGTGAATTCCCCATTTCTGAGGTTCCATCTTAAATAGTTTCTTGATCTTATCAACCTGTCCTCAAGAACACACAGAAAAGCCCCACTTCAGAGCACTTAATTCCAGAATACTGACTGAGATCCATCTCTGAATTAAAGAAGTAGATTCCCCTTAAATCTCAAACATAAGTACCTGCATCTGTTAGGTTAGCTGCATCTGTTAGAAGATACATAATTAATTATTTTTCAAGTAAAACAAAACTCATAATGATTACAAAGAAGTGAAGATCCCTTTTTATGTCTCCTGTTAGAGTATAATAGGAATATATTAAGGCAGACATGTTTGCCACCGTGTCTTTCATCTGCTTAAGATGAGTACATTTTACTGCCCTGTTTTCTTACAACAGTTATTTAAAGGGCAGTTTGGAACACACATTGCATCACTTGAGTCTTGAAATATTGTTTGAAACAGACTTAGGCTGACTTCTTAGGAGGTAGTAACATTTGTCTGCAGTTGCTGACTTTTAGAGTTGCAAACATCTGATTTAGTAATAACTGATGTGTTAGAAAAAACACTGTTATTCTTGCTGTCACCATCATCCTCTTTGAAGGACTTTTGGTATTTTTTATTCCCCTGGGATGCAGGTGGGATTTGTTAAAACTTTTAATTTTTCTTACCTTAAGCATAAGTGCCAAAGCATAGTTTCTGTCTTGGCTTTTCATCACTATTTAAGAGAAGTAGGCAATCAAGGTTATGTGTCTATAGTTTTTCAGTTATTGGTCTGTTGCTGTCACTAGTACCTTTAAAATTGTTACTTTCTTCCTTGTTTTCATTGAAGGTTGAATTAATAATGTAAAATGCAGTGTTCTGGTACACAGAACTGATTTACCCCATATATATTGCTGTTGATCACTTCCAGTAGTATCCAATAGCTGATTGACTGTGGAAGCTCTGCCAGTCTTCTCTTTTGCTCTCTGAATCAAGTGTCTTAGTGAAGCTGACAAAACAAGGGATGTGACCAACACCAGGCCTTATACAGCAGCCTCACAGTGTGTCTTTTGAGCAGCATTTGAGATGGGCTTTTTGAATGAACTGGTACAGGAAAAAGAAGAAACTCTTCTGTTTTAATTTGTAACCACAGCACACTATCTTTTGTTTGTCTGTGAGAAGGAAACAACCATTTCAGGTTTTGTCAAAACTATGGAGCTCTGGCAGAGTAAGGAGAGAGGGATCTATGCTCAAACAAATACAAAGAAAAAGATTAAAACTTACCTTGCTGTTTCTTTTTTGAAAATAGTATAAAAAACAGGATGGATAATTTAGAACAGAATTCTTCAAAAGTAACTTAACTCAAATGTTTAAAATGTACTTCAGTATAATAAAAACTGCAGCTATGTTATGTCTGAACACTCTTATCTGTCCAGAGGGAGACCCAGTATTTGACCAAACCCTTTCTTTCCCACATCTACTGAAAGGGAAGGAAGCATTGTAACAGAGAAAGATTCTGTTAATTTGAAGTAATCTGATCAATAAACAAGCCCCCAAACCTAATAAATTTTGAGCACTGCCTTTCCTTTCAACTACTTGTACTCTGTGATCATCCACTGCAGTATAGTATCTTCAGATGTGATGGTATCTGTTTGAAAATGAGGAGGTTTATTTATGTTGGCCTTTGCACTAAGTTTTCCTTCCAAGATCTTACCTACTTCTACCAAACCTTTCCAAGTAACTTTAGATCTTCATATCTTTTTGCTTTTTTTTCCCATGTAAAAGTAAGTATGAGAAATACTTTCTTCCAGATAAACCAGGCTACGCATGACCAGGCAGTGGTGCTACAAAATGCCCTACAAAACATTCCTAATCCAACTTCAGAATGCATGCTGAGAAATGTAGCAATACGTCTTGCACAGCAAATATCTGATGAGGTTGGTGAATTCCTTTCTGTATCACCTTTTTCCTTATAGCATCTTTTCTATTTTCTTAATCCTTAAATTTGTTGCTTTGTGAGACAGATTTTCCTTTAATAATGTTTTAGGTAATGATCATATGAAAGAGAAAAACCTCAAATCATTGTCAGTGTATCTTTATATATTGAAGATGCTTTAATGACACAAATGAAAACCTCAGTATGGCTAAACAATGTGCTTTGCAAACACAGTGGTCTTATGTGTATGGTGTGGCCAAAGCCCATTTGAATCTGGAATCAGGAGTCTTGTTAGAGAACATGTCAGTGAATTCAGCTGAGTTCAGCAGGAGCTAAAATCATGACTGCTTTACCTTCCTCTTCCACCTGCATCTGGATCCCTTGGTTTCCAGGGTGGAAGCCATAAATACACATAAATACAGTGTTTCTGTACTGTATAGCATATCTGCAAAACTATCTCCAAAACATTCTGAGCTATCTAGGTAGAAGATATTATTGGATTCTCATCTTGGTGTTGACAAGTTCACTATCCCTTGAGAACAAAGGGCAGTGTCAAAAGGAAGCACAACGTGCTGTACTGCAAGACTGAGCCATCTGCCTTCCATCAGTGGTGGTTTTGCATCCATAGGTGTAAAATCAGCCAATTCAACTCTGATTTAAGCAAATTTCTTCTATAGAAAAAGTATCTTTTGAGGTGAGATGTGAGGAAAGGTTTTTTAATTCTGCCTTTGTATTCCGGAGGCCTGCTAATAAATAAATAAAGTCCTTTTCTTTCACCAAGCACATCAAAGCAAACAAAATCTCAATGTGTTTAACAGTATTGCTGAGGAAGATTTGTCTGTAATTTTCTGAAATTATGAATATTGCCATAGAGCTAAATTTCATGTGTATTGTAGTTTGCCTTTGAAAGGTTTTTTTACCTTTTCATGTTTTGATGGTCAAAGACTATTTTCAATGGATCTCACAATTTAAAAAAAATTAATCTGACATAGTTTCCATAGGCCAAGTAGAAGACTTTAGCACAGAGAGGAATCATTCACCTTTTTAAAAAATGTTGATACTTAAAGATTTTGAAACTACAGTGAGATAAAAAAACCCTGTTATTTTTCTTCTGGCACTGTTGCTGTAAGGTTGCTTTGCTTGTGACAAAGATAAAATACCTTTTATTTTTCTTGTAAGTATGGTTAATGTCCATATCAGTACAAGAATGCACATTGTTCAGGTTTCCTGATGCAGATACTTAACTAGCTCAGCTTCTTACAGTCCCCTTCTTTATTGTCTGAGCATTGGACAAATGACACTTGAAATCCATCTGCCTTCTGCTTTTAGAGATTACCTTTTTTTGGAAAATTCTGTTTTGAGTACAGACTTCAGATAAGTTTGGTAGGTTTTTTGAAAGTTGATGTGAACCCTAAATAATGGCAGTTGGAGTATGTTTTGTAATGTGTGTATATCAGTAGAAACTACTGGATGTTAACTCAGACCATGCACAAAGTACTGAAGAGTGACTCTGCATCCATTCAATACATGAGCTGTGTTCTTTTTCATGTTCAGGCCTCTGTCTGGAACATGAAGCAATCTTTTAGATAATGATCACATACTTGATAACATCAGTGTGTTCAAGCTGGCTGTCAGCTAGCACAGCATGGGGAGAAACCCTAAAAGAAGTTCAGCTTTTCATACTCCTTAAGAAGCTGGCTGCTTTCCAGATGAATGCTTGGTGGTTTCTTGGGTTGTTTTTTTTTTTCCCTAAATCAAGAAGGTTTTAGCATTGAAATTGGTAGTTTCTGCTAAGTCTTAGAACCACAGGTGCCTACATCCTACTTCAAAAAATTAAATTTTACATAAGTGAAGTATAAATACTCTTCAAGATACATCATCTGTTTTCTATTTAAGGAAAAAAAATATCTGTCTTAACGTTTTAAATCTTAAATTTTCTGTGAAATACATTTGTGGGAATTTAGGATACATTGCAGTATTATTTGCAGCTATATTTTAATGTTGCTTTAGTTAATTTCTCCTTTTTTTTCAGGCTTCAAAATACATCCCTGACATCTGTGTTATCAGGGCAGTACAGAAAATTGTTTGGGCATCAGGTTGTGGATCAGTTCAGCTGGTTTTCAGCTCGAATGAGGAAATTAGTAAAATCTATGAAAAGGTAAGAATCCTGAACAGCTGCTTCTCTGTATTACTGTTTGTTTTTGTACAAAAAGGAATGGGTACACAGGGTTGACCTGGTCAGGTTTAGAGTGTGATGAGCTTTTAGGTGGATACAATGATGTATTTCAGAATCTAGTATATCAGTGTCATAGCACAGCTTAATTTTCTATTCCAAATTCCTTTCCTCAGTAACTGGTGAATTGTAACTTGAATCTGGTGTCAGCTGAAAAATGCACCAGTTCTGTAACATGTTTTCATCCCAGTTAGATTCTGCATCTAAATTAGGAAAAAGCATTTCTTGCAAATCTAATTTGTCTACTCTTCAAACTTAAAAGGTCTGTTCTGCAGAAGTGATTCAAAGCATATGTGCAGTCTAGAATGAGAAAGAAGAGCAAAGTGATGTGGGAAGCATTGGGAAAAAATTTAATTGCTAATTCTGTATGGCTTTTCTTCTTCTGTTCATGGTTTCACATGTGGTTTACACTAGTTTGGACAGATTTAATTGCTAATTCTGTATGGCTTCTCTTCTTCTGTTCATGGTTTCACATGTGGTTTACACTAGTTTGGACTTAGGAGTTCTGTATCAGTAGATTACCACACATCTTGTGTTTAAGTAATGTTGCTTACAGGAGGTGATAACAATCTGGATTTGGACAGTGATTTTAAAAAAGCATTTCCTATTTTTGTCTTGTAAAATCAGGTTTAATACTTATCAAAACTTGCCTGAGAGTCAAAGGAAAAGGAATATGTAGGGAGACTTAATTCTTGGTGTTTTTGCTGCTGTGTTTAAATGATGAATTAAAAGAAGAATATTTACTTCAGCAATCTGGAACACCTTTCCATTAGCTTTCATAGGGTTATAATGACATCTGCTTCTATTGCTGTGAACATGACTTCTTCATGAAATACACTGGGGGTTGTGGTTTTTTGGGTAATACTTCCATATAAAAAACATGTTTTAGTTCATGTGACAGTTCATGAAGATAAACTCTTATATTTACACATGGGATGCTTTAAGAGCAGTAATGCACTAGAGAAAGCATACCTAAAAGAAAACAGACCTAAATGTCCTTTATTAAAATTCTTCTGGGTAGAAATTGTACAGTTAAGTTCTGTAAAAATATTTTGAAGTAATGGAAATTTTAAAAGAGGTGAAATTCAAGCTGTATGTTATTGATCATATTTCACATGATTTTGTGGGTTTTTAATTTTTTTTTTTTTTTTTTTTTTTTTTTATTCTTATTGATACTTATATGGGTATCTGTAGTAAATGGCAGCTGCATTTGGTTTCTACTGTGCAAAAGGGAAATAGAAATTGAAGGGGAAAAAAATTGGAAATTCAAAAGAGGAAGAAATTGTAGAAGTAATAAGGGGAAATAAAGTACCCTTTCTTAATATAACATTACAAGAGAGGCAGGTATCCCTAGAAACAGAGGAATATCATGGAAGGAAAGAAAGTTTTAGAGAACTGTATCTGGTTGTAGATTAGAGGAAGCAATTTTTGTGATGGCTTTATACAGATTGAATAATAATATACAGAACCCCCAGCTCTGGGTGCCCGAGTGCAGAGAAGTGCTTCACTGAGTGCAAAATGCACTTTGCCTTTCCCCTGGCTCCCTGCAGCTGTGCAGAAATAACTTTCCCTGCTATCCAGGGCTTCACTGCAGAGCAGGTGCAGTTCTGGACTTGCTGAAGGCATTCTGCATTTGCTTTCTGATCTTGTGTCGGAGCTGCCACATCCTCCTGCTGCAGTGCAGTGACTGCCTTTGATTTTGGAGTTATTGTGCATAGACAAAATAATGTTTGTTGCCAGAGTGAAGCATATTTTGGCTGTTCACAATTAGTTCTCTCCTCTGCATTGTAATCCCTTCTTTCTGCCTAATTAATCTTAATACCTTTCCACATATAAAACAAATATTTAATGATGTAGTTAATGTGGCTGACCTGCCCTCATGATTTATAAATGATAAATTGAGACCTGCTCATATTCGGGTTCTTTGGAACTTGTTGAATGTAATTACTTCTAGATGGAGGAGAGGGTTTGCCATTATTCTCCAAGTATTTGTTTTGAAAAAATGTTCCAAAATCAACTCAATTAATTCAAGTGTTTAGATTAAGAACTAACCTATGCACCAATTAGCAGTAATATTATTTTCTTTGTCAAAAATCATGACAGCAGCTGTGTTTAAAATTTGAACTTAAACTCTTTTGTGTTTCTGGAAAATAGCAAAGAGATTAATAAATTCTAGCAATATTAAAAAGCTTTTGGTCAAATAAGTTGTGAGTGTCAAAGCCTTGTAAAACTGGATTGATGAATTAATTATACAGCAATATAGCCTTTCTCTGTTTAAGTAGTAAAGTTTTCCAATTTTAAATGCCATTTTTTGAGTGGCAAAGAAAAACAAAACAAAAAAATCCCAAACAAAACCCCAGATGCAAACCAAGCAAAAACTTCCAGCAGTACTAACTGATTTAAATGTTGCCCACAGTTGTCCTATTTAACTTCTGTCTCCATAAGTTTATGCTTGGAATCCTCCTGTGAGAAGCACAATTCTGGAAGTTCAAGTCATCCCACATAGTGCTTTGGCTCAGATCTGAGTGCATAAAATACTTGGCACTGACAATCACTTGGTATACAAAGCTGTGGTTTGTGTTTAGTGATGTACCTTGGAGCCACTTGGGTTTCTTGGGATTGTTTTCTGTACCCACTTTGTGCACTCTTGTTTGTTTTCACAGACAAATGCAGGAAATGAACCAGACATGGAAGATGAACAAGTGTGCTGTGAAGCACTGGAGGTGATGACCCTGTGCTTTGCTTTGATTCCAACAGCACTGGATGCACTCAGTAAAGAGAAGGCGTGGCAGACATTTATTATTGATTTACTATTGCACTGTCACAGCAAGTAAGTTTTGGTCACTTCCGTTATTTTACAATTCAAAATTAGTATAAAGCCTAAATGCAGGGCAGTGGCTTCAGCCCATCTGAAGTTGTGATGTGAAGTACTGGATGTTTTCAGAAACCATCCAGGTGGAAAGTTGTTAATTTGTTATTAAACTTCGTTGCCAGTGCTTTGATCTGTCACTAAAGAATTAATTTTAATTTTTAAAGATACTGTTGTTTCATGAATATTACAATTTTTCTTTGAGAAATGATAGAGCTCTGAAATTAGTAGTGTCTTAAGTTTTTCAGTATACTTTAAAGGGAGTGAGATTATGGTGCTCTGAGATGAATGGGGTCCGAATTTGAGCAGAATTTGTGTTTTGGGGGTTTGACTTCTAGATAAACAGGTTGAAAGGTCTTATGTTTAGGAATATTTGCCTTAATGAAAGGATCAGTATCATCAGAGCATCTCTTTACCATGAAGTCTTTGCACACACTGGTGAAAGTGGAGGGTTACAAGAAATACCACAAGCTTTATTAGCTTGCAGCCTGTGGTATAGGATGTTGAATTTTCAGTTTCACTGAAGCTTCCTGGTATCACTCATTGTATGGAAAAATAGTTCATACTGTCAGTACAAGAAGCTACCACTTCTCTCATATGCCTATAAAACTTGTGATAAACATGATAATCTCACTTAGAATGGTGCAGCTGTTCATTGTTACATGGTAAAATGGCATCAGCATGAGTGGAAACAGAAGACTGCTTTGTAAATTAAGATGGTGAAGTTGAACTAAGCTGCTGAAAAGTTTTTCTTCTGAATTAATATGGAAACAAATCAGTGTTTGCAGTGCAGAGAAAGTTTAGCAAATACCAGACAGAACTCTGAATATCATTCCACAACTATTGTTCTCTAATCTCCTATGCTCAATCAGAGAACAATGTGAGCAAAAATATGCATGTGAGAAAATATTTTTGGTGCACCATAAAAGACAAAGACAGAAGATGACCAAGTTCAGATCTCACAAATATGATCTTTCTAGAAAAGATCAGATGGATTGTTTGTTTCACAGAGTCTGACTGGACTTCTGTTTCCTCAGAGCATAACCATACCTCTAAACTGAGAAACAAAATGCAAAATGTTTAATACTAAATGCTAGAGTAGTTTTTCTTCTACAAGGTAATTGATTTTGTAGCAGTGTCCTCTGAATGCAAGACTGGCTTAGTTAAGAGGAGATAGCCAAGCAGTTAGTCTTAAGTAATCCTGGAAGCCAGAAGTATTCTGCTGATCTCTGCAAAGTGTTTGGTGGCCACATAGATGTGGCCTAAACACATTAAAATTCTTTATGCTGGCACTTACACCCACTGAAGAGACTGTCTTCTGTTAACTGAGCAAGACCTGTGTCCTGGAGCTCTCAGTAGGGCAGGATTGAGGTTGTCAGCCTTAAAGAGGGAGGTGCTTGACCTCCAGCTATTCCTCCTGCTGAGTGTGAGTTCATTGTGCAGCTCATGTCCTGTGTGCCAGCTCTGTGCTGCCAGCCTTAAGGAGGGAGGTGCTTGACCTGACCTGCTGAGTGTGAGTTCATTGTGCAGCTCATGTCCTGTGTGCCAGCTCTGTGCTGTCATCATGTGTCTAAAACAGCATGAGATGCCTGTGCTCAGGAAACTGTCTCCCTTTCATGATTTCTTAAGAGGTTCTAGATGGTTACAGCTTCACAGAAATGTAATACTTGTGTTCAAACACTGCACACTCAGAAACAGAAGTGTGAGGCATGTCATATTGGTCACATTCATTCTGCCTTTAAGTGCACAGAGCTGAGGAGTGTCTTTGTGATGTGTCCCAAGCAGTTGAAGAATTGTATCTTAAAATAACTTTCTGTGAGATGTTCTACAAAAACATTGGCTCAGCAATCAGACCCCATAAAATGTCAACTATTGTTTAAGAAGAAAACAGACCAGCCCCACCCCACAGTTTGCTGCAACTCAGAGCAGAGTAGGAGAAGTTGCAAAGATCAGGGAAGGGTGACAAGGGAGATCAAAGCTGTGCAATGATTTCTATCTGAGGAACAGCTGAATAGCTGGGGGCACTTCATACTGGAGGAGAGATGAATGGTGGGAGGAGAATACTACAGAGACCCTTAAAATCAGAAGTAGCAAAGGGAGCACAAATGGAGAGCTGTGTTTCTTTGTGTAAGACCTTCTTAAGGTCTTATTTAAGCAGTGCAAACCTCAGATTGGAAATGGTTTGAGGGGTTCTTTCATGAACTTGTTGAGTGAGGGCTATGAAATACTGTTCTTGGTAGTTTTCTTGAACCACGGATTGTTGGAAGCTGAGAGAACATTCTGAAGAAGTTTCTCTTCATGATTCCTTCTTCTTGTGCACTTTGCTTTGTGCATGGTAGCAGAGATGGGTGCTCAGCCAGGTGCATCTTTGCTCTTGACCTCAAGGTCATCCTTATGTGGCTTTGCAGTTAAACACACGTGAAAAAGCTCTGAAGGGAATAGGATTCTGTGGTGTGCTTTCCACCCTGACTCCATGGGCATGAAACAGAGACAGCCACACCAGACACTGCAAAACTCAGTTTTTCATACTGTTGAGTTACTTCTGAAAATCATTCATTCAGCATTCATTTGTAGTCTCTTCCCACACAAAAAGAGTTGCTCCTAACAGTTTTTTCAAGGCATACTACTCAGACAATTAATCCTACAACTTGAAAGAAAAGGATTTGCCCTAATTGTTTTTAATTTATTTTTTTACTGAATCTTATCCATTCCTGAATTGCTCTAGTGATTAGATTAGATTCTAAGGTGAAAAATTTCCTTTAATTATAGCCTTGAGTTTTAAGGAGGATCATCATCTCTCACATCTTGCTAATGATAAATTTTGATCACTTCAGAGATACGCAGCAAACTGCTGCAGTGACACATAAAAGCAGTTTTACTGGAGTAGGTTTGTACCTAGTTTTACCAGGTACAACTTGATTAAGAAAAAAAAATATTTAGGATTGCAAATTGTTGTGTTATGCAATATTTGCTGTCAGTTGCAAAGGGGTAGTGGCTAGGTGTTTCTAAGTTTCTTTTTCTTTTACATTTAAATATTTGATCTGTGGAACAGGTTTTGTACTTTAATTCATGCATCTGAAATTAAACTATTCCTGTTTCCTACATTATGTTCAGTTTTAGAAAATAGCATTAAGCAGATAAACACAAATTTAATTACTGTCCTGTTTGGATAGGGAGATTGAATTTATGTTTCTATTAAATTATTTCCAGAACCGTTCGTCAGATGGCACAGGAGCAATTCTTTTTAATGGCTACCAGGTGTTGCATGGGACAGAGACCTCTCCTTTTCTTCATTACCCTGCTGTTTACTGTTCTAGGGGTAAGTTTTCAGGGATAAAGTCTCCAGTATGGGAGTGTATGTAAAAAATTATAGGACAATATACCTGCAAGAAAAGACAAATTGCTATTAATAACAGTCACTATAATGTAGATTGCTTCTGGCCTACAGACAAGCAGCACAGATAATTTCCATTTGAGCTAGATCAGGGGAAAAGGACTTTTTTCATTTTCTGATAAGAACATGAACAGTAGGCTTTAATGTCTGCATTTGATCTTTGGGGATTGCTAACCTTTAAGTAAAAATCATTAGCAGGTTAGAGAGATACCTACAGTTAGTGCATTCTCCTACTGGTCCTGCCAGGGCTTTTCAGCTCATGGCTCTCTTGAACATTTGATCAAAAGTTTTGATTTGGTTTTCTTTTTCCTATTCCGGTGTAGAAATTGCTACTAAAATAGTTGAGAAGTCATTCATAAGCAGCTAAATACAATTTTAAACTTGTAAAAGGTTAAAAATTACCTTACACTTGTTTTCTTTTACATTTACTGCGAGATTTAGGGGAAATATGTTGGTGTTGCACTGTAAGTAGAAGCATTGGTAAATTCTTTGCTTTTGGTTTACACAGAGCACTGCAAGAGAGAGAGCTAAGCATTCTGGAGACTACTTCACCCTCTTAAGACATCTGCTTAACTATGCTTACAACAGTAATATTAATGTACCCAATGCTGAAGTTCTTCTCAATAATGAAATTGACTGGCTTAAGAGAATCAGGGTAAGTTTCAGGATCAGTTTATTCCTGATAATTAGGTTATCTCTGCTTTCTTGTAAACTGCATGAAAGTTCTGAGCTTAATGTTTGCTGTTTGGAGTATCCTAACTTTCTCTTAAATGGCAGGATGAAGTAAAAAGAACAGGGGAAACAGGTGTTGAAGAAACGATCTTAGAGGGTCACCTTGGAGTAACAAAAGAGTTGTTAGCATTCCAGACACCTGAGAAGAAATACCATATTGGTTGTGAAAAAGGAGGTGCTAATCTCATTAAAGTAAGTTCAAGTTTTTTGACCTCTGGAGGGGATTTTTTTGTCTTTGTGAGGTTTTGCGGGGGGGGGGGGGGGGATCAATTTTTGGGGTTTTTTTATTATTTGTTTTTGCCTATAAATAAATAAAAAGAGGCTTCACATCTTGTGGGCTGTATCCTAAAAATGGTTTTGATTGGAGTTCAATGTTTTCTTTAAAAATAATTTTTAAAATTGCATGTTTCATTCATAAAGTATATTTAACTTTCTTGTTCTTACTGTATTCCAGTACTTGACAAACATCACACAAAGATAGTGAGATACAGGATAGTCCTGTACAGGACTGCTTTCCTTCATTACCTCTGTAATGGCTTTCCTGCACATGTTCTTAATTAGTACTATTAATGCTTAGGGCAGGTTTGAACAAATGCATCACATTTGAGCATCTCTTTAATCAGACATGTTTTCTTTGTACTTCTGATATTATAGAGCAGGAGTGTTGGTTTTTCAGCACTAATTGATAAAGAGCTTTGTTGGTAATATTTGTTTTGCAAAATAAATTTTGTACTAATCAAGAACAATATAGATTTATTTTTAACTTACAGAGGGGAACTGGGTTTGGAGAGAACCGCTTTAGAATGGAGTTCTTCTGTTCTAAATTTAAAAGCTCATGATGCTATTGGTCTCAGTTTTTACTCTTCTTTTATTTTTTAAGTACCCCTGTGGTTCTCAGACATTCATTTATGTAATAACCCTTACTCTCTTATAAAATAATTTCCATGGTAACAGGTGATTTATTGTCTTTTTTTTTCAGGAGTTGATAGATGATTTCATCTTTCCAGCATCCAATGTTTATCTACAGTACATGAGAAATGGAGAATTGCCTGCTGAGCAGGCCATACCAGTCTGTAGTTCACCTGCCACTATCAATGCTGGCTTTGAGCTCCTCGTTGCACTCGCAGTTGGATGTGTGCGAAATCTCAAGCAGATAGTAGACACATTGACTGAAATGTATTACATAGGTACAGCAATCACTAGTATGTAATACTTTTTAATTATCTATTTTCTACTCTTTAATGTATGTATCATGTATAGGTTTTGTTTATATTATCCACTGAACCAAATGCTGCGTTTTTTAGTTCATAGTTTGTTTGTGGCTGCTTTTAATGTTACCACATCAGTTTGCTAGTGTAGCCTTTACTTGTTTTTCTTTATGAATTAAATGTACTGACCTGCATTCCATGGTCATGTCCAAATTCCAACCCCAGTCACAGCCTGACCCTTCCTGTCCCAATCTCAGATTCCTCCCCTTTGTCCATACCAGCTCCCAGGACCCTCATTCTGTCTGTATCTTCTACTTCTGTCTCATGATTTCAGGCTCTAGCTAACCAATCCCAGAGCCTCACCAGCTATCTTCAGCTTAGCTCTAGAGCCAGTTTCTTGGTTGCTCACCTGATTTGTCATCATTGTCCACACACAGACACAGGTCATCTGTCCTGCTTCCCTTTTTAGTTCTGAACTCATTCTCTGCTTGTCATCGTCCTTTTTCAGGCTCCTTTTTGGCCTTGTTTCAGCACAGCTCTGCAGTGAAAGAACTTTCTCCCTCTCACTGGAGAAAGACTGTAGTGACTGCTGTCTGTTCAAAAACTTGCAAATGTTAGTGCTTCAAAAGCCAGTAATCAAGTGAAACTTGGGCTGACTTTCACAAGGATGGCAAAAGGCTTGTTTTTAGCACAGATTATTGTTGTTGTAAAAAAAGTATTTCTTAAAAATGATCAAGCAAGAGAATATTTTCTCCAGCCCTGAAGGGACACTGAAACCATTCTGCTGTAATATTAACAGGGAAAGGGAAAAAAATCAACAACTACCAAACAAAATTCAAACACCATCAAACCAAGGAAACCCAAGCTCATATAGTGAGAAAGGCTGGGAGAGTTGGGGCTGTTCAGCCTGGAGAAGGGAAGCCTCCAGGGGTACCTTACTGTGACCTTCATTAGTTAAACATGGCTTGGAAGAAAGATGGAGAAAAAGTTTGGTATCGGGGCCTGTAGTTACAAGAGGCAATGATTTTAAGCTGAGAATAGATTTAGATTGGACACAAGGAAGAAATTCTTCACAGTGAGAATGCTGAGACACTGGAAGAGGTTGCCCAGTTGTGGATGCCTCATCCCAGAAGTGTTCCAGGCCAGGCTGGATAGGGCCCTGAGCAATCTGGACTAGTGAGAGATACCCTGATACCCTGGCCCGTGGCAGGAGGTTGGACTGGATGGTCTTTAAAGGTCCTTCCAACCCAAACCATTGTGTGATTTAACAGATGTTTGAACTCATGGAGTTGAGCAAAACCATAAGCAACTAAAAATAATATCCAAAACTGGAAATTGTCCACTGCCTCTCAGAGTGTCAGTGCGAATGGTGCTGTCAGTGAGTCACTTGAGGTTTTTCAGTCTCTTCCTGTTAACTTCCATATCAGATGAATAAATTAAAAGGGCAGCTTATGGTTTTCCCCTCTGCTCATCCTTCTTTCTTCACCCTTTTCTGTTGGGAAGTAGTGTATTTCTTACCACCTCACACTTAGGGGGATTTCATGGCATTCCCTTCCATTCAAGTGTTTGATAAGCACAGTAGAACACCACATCTCTGTGGTATGTCAGAAGAGAGAACAAATGTATGAGCTGTGCATGCTCTGGGTTTCTTATACCAAATCTGCTTGTAAATAAATATACATGCTCTCTTATATCAGATTTTTTTTATGTTAAACTACAGACAGAACAACAGGTTAGCTTAGGTGATAATAAATGTTCTTGGAGAGATGGGAGGGACCTGAGAGAAAAGACTCAAGAGGAAAAAAATATATATCAAGTTATATAGATAGCATTTGCTAAAACTGTTTCCTATCCTGGCAAGAAAAAGTGACGCTTAAGTGAAATTCTGTAATTTTTTCAAGGATTGTAAATTTTTGAGAGCATTATAATTTTTGAATGTTTTATCAATTAGTTATATATTCTATATTCATTCAGCTGAATTTTTCAGCTAAGAAACTTGCTAGTATTGAGGAAAGACTTCTGTTTCATTTATAAATAGGCTGAATTTTTGCCTGACCACCTCTTTAGCTATGCAGTAGAAGAAAATGTTGTAATAAGAAGTTGTGTTAAGTTAAGCAATTAAGTTTTCTGATGGAACATTATTTTTTATTAAATCGCATTTACAGATAGAACAGTCCTTCATAGAAGTTGTGTTAAGCAATTAAGTTTTCTGATGGAACATTATTTTTTATTAAATCGCATATGATACAGACTAATAATAATTTTATGCAACTGCCCTTTGTACTGCATTGATATCCTCTTTATTTTATAACAAAACAGTTCCCTGACCACACTGTGCTGTTTCCTCTTAGCTTGTGAAGCACTCACAGAATGGGAATATCTGCCACCTGTTGGGCCTCGGCCACCAAAGGGATTTGTGGGGCTGAAAAATGCTGGTGCCACTTGTTACATGAATTCTGTCATTCAGCAGCTGTACATGATTCCAGCCATCAGGAATGGGATTCTTGCAATAGAAGGCACAGGCAGTGATGTAGATGATGACATGTCTGGGGATGAAAAGCAGGACAACGAGGTAAATTTAATTATATAGAATTACCTAATCTTGAAATTGCAATTATTTTTTAATGAAAAGTTCATAATAAATTTCAGTTGCTAATCAATCACTTTGATTTCCACTGATAACTGTGGGGAAAATAGGATAATATTTCATACTTGAATGGGTTCACTGCCAGAGGGGCACTTCACAAGATCCAGGTGGCAGGGTTTGCAGAATTCCTCCTCAGGCATTTCTACTGGAAAGCACTGCACCTTATTTCAGCCATTACAACTTTGTTAATGCAAACAAAGACAGTATTTGGGTTTTCAGCTGAGTATGAAACACCTTAGATTGTCAAATCAAAAAAGGATAAAACTAACTACGAGACAGCTACATGTGGAAGTGAATTGCACAAATTTTCTGCTTTTCAGAGCAATGTTGACCCACGAGATGATGTGTTTGGTTATCCACATCAGTATGAAGATAAACCAGCACTGAGCAAAACTGAAGATAGAAAAGAGTACAATATTGGAGTTTTGAGGCATCTCCAAGTAATTTTTGGCCATTTAGCAGCTTCCAGGCTACAGTACTATGTACCAAGAGGGTTTTGGAAACAGTTCAGGTAAGTAGAAAATTGAGTATTGATGTTGGTTCACTGGATCACTGAAGTGCAAAAAAACTAATCATAGTAGAATGGCAACGATGTAAAGTGTAAATTAGCAGAAGTTGTGCAGCTTTATCTGCCTTTTCACCTTTCTGTACAAGTCTGTTAATAAACTAAAGTTTACAGCAGGGTGGTTCTTTCGAATTTTAGCAGTTTTTGATAGTGGGACTTTGAATTAAGTATGAAGTTACACACAAGAGCTTGTTTTTACTTACCAGAAAGTGTCAGGGACAGAACAACAGGTCGTATAGTACAGCAAAAACCAGTAGTTTGATTCTTCAAGGAGGAGGGGTTAGGAGCTTGAATAATTATTTTTTTTCAAAAATAAATTGTTGGCAAACAATACAAAAAATATTTGACAAAATATGCTTTCAATTTCAGGCTCTGGGGTGAACCTGTAAATCTACGTGAACAACACGATGCTTTAGAATTTTTTAATTCGTTGGTGGACAGTTTAGATGAAGCTTTAAAAGCTTTGGGCCATCCAGCAATGTTAAGTAAAGTTTTAGGAGGATCCTTTGCTGATCAGAAGATTTGTCAAGGATGCCCACATCGGTAAGTGTTGAAGATTTTAATCTTTTTTTATAGGAAAACAACTCATGTTTGTGTCCTTATAAAAGTAATTAGAGTCAAGAGTGGGCTTTTTCTGTGGGTTTTTTAAGCTAATAGATTTTGCTACCTTATTTTTTCTACAGCTGAGCATTCATTTGTTTACAAGTACCTTGAAATACTTAATCATTATTGTTTCCACTTCACAGATTGTATGTGAAGTATTGTGTATTGATCATGGCAGGAAAATATTGTGCTTTTTCATGTTAAAAGTGAAAACAATTGTAGGGACCAAATGCAATGTAGAAAATCTTAATACCTGGCCAACAATTGTTGCTGTCTTTGGTTTTCCATAATGTGTGTTTAGAGCTGAGCCAAGTAGGAATCTTCAGTTCCAATGAGTAAAACTGTTCATACTCACCATGTAACTTGTAATTAAGGTCAGTGGTGTAGAAAGTTTATCTTTTTCTTAAGACTTCTGCTGTATTTGTAGTTAGCTTTAAATGTGAATACTGAAATTCAGTTTTGTAGAAGGCATGTAAGAAACCACCCATGCCAAATCAGACTGCAAGTCTGCAGCTCACTGTTTCAGGTTATTAATGAAGGAATAGAACTTGGTATTGTAAAGTTGTAATTCCCCAGACTTTTAAATTTATCTCTATTTTTATGGTGGGTGCTTAAAATTGCATGCAAAATTCAGGATGGCTTAATGATGAACTTATTTTTTTTAGCATTCGGCTTTTTCTTTATTATTGTGTTTATTTCTGTCACTATCAGTTGGCCTTCTTACTGTTCAGGTCATGTGTGATTCTATAACAGTACATATCTCTGTACATTGCCATTGCAAATTTTCTTTATTTTGAAAACTGACCATTTTCTTTAGCCTTCATTTAGCAATTAAAATACTGGAAAAATAATACAAATGAATTTTAGTGTGTTAATCTTTCAACTTCAATTGACCTAATGTATAAATAAGAATAATTTGTAAAGTGAACATCTTAGGTTTCATAGGTTACAGTGAGTGACTAGAAGTGAGTTGAAATACTGCAAGGTAAAATGGTAGCACTGATTTCACCTTTGAATGCAGTGGGTTATTAAATGGCAGATCCAGACCAGAAGCAGTGTGAGTTACCATTCATTCCTGATATTATGTATTATCCTGACGTATTTCTGTGTTTTTTGAACTCTACTGGATTTGCATAATGTTACTTATTAACAGAAATGTAGTTTAGGGAGGAAGAAACTGATAGTAACTAAACTGTGGATTTGTGTATGGCAAATTAACTGCCTTTCTGTATTTTTTGTAAGCTATTTATTGGATGAATGAATATTTCTGTTGGTTGAAGTGTTTCTAAATATTTATTTATTCAGCCTTTGAATGCTTGATTGCATATCAGGGAAACAAGGCCTTCAGGGTTACACTGGAATAGATGTGGCTTTTTAAATTTATTCATCACTTCTTTATCTTTAAAAACAAAAAGTTGCTTCCAGGATGTTTCAGCTGGTTGTCTCTCAAGCATTACTAGTACATTGCTAGAGATTTGTTTGTAGATTATATTTAGAACACAATGTCAAAGCCAGTCTTAAACATTCAAAGAGGTTTTATGAAGATGGTGATTCAAAGTTTTTTAGATAGAAAATAAAAAGTCTTATTGTTTGTTTTTTTGCTGAATTGGCATCTGTTTTGAACTATTGTCTTTAGGTGTGATAGAGTATTTGTGTTTATCAGTCTGACTCCTGACCATAAAAATACAGTGTACAGATTCTGTAATGTAACTGTAGGAAAACTGCAGTAAAAAAGAGTTCAGTTCTTTTACTGCTTACACACTGTAGCACATGTAAAACACAAAAAGTTGAACACATTCCTCCCTTTCTCACACATTTACCTGTTCATTGCTAGGTACGAGTGTGAGGAATCCTTCACAACTCTGAATGTAGATATCAGGAATCACCAAAACCTTCTTGATTCTTTGGAGCAGTATGTCAAAGGAGATTTATTGGAAGGTGCAAATGCATATCATTGTGAAAAATGCAACAAAAAGGTAATGATTCCTTATATTTTTAATTTGTGTACAGCTGTGATGTTACAACTGTACTAAGTTCAGACTTAGATCATGTTTGTGGAGAAAAGTCATCCTTTCATTACTCAGTTTGGTATTTGGTGAGAGTATATGAATGGAAATTTGAGAGCTGGTAACTGTTCATGTCCTTTTCCAGGTGGATACAGTCAAACGCTTGTTGATTAAGAAGTTGCCTCCAGTTCTTGCGATCCAGTTGAAACGATTTGATTATGACTGGGAAAGGGAATGTGCAATCAAATTCAATGATTATTTTGAATTTCCACGAGAACTGGACATGGAGCCTTACACAGTGGCAGGTGTAGCAAAATTGGAAGGGGATGATGTGAATCCTGAAAATCAGATAATACAAAATGAGCAGTCAGAAAATGAACACTCTGGAAGCACAAAATACAGACTCGTGGGTGTGCTTGTGCACAGCGGCCAGGCCAGCGGCGGACATTACTACTCTTACATTATCCAGAGGAATGGTGGGGATGGTGAGAAGAACCGGTGGTACAAATTTGACGATGGAGATGTGACAGAGTGTAAAATGGATGACGATGAAGAGATGAAAAATCAGTGTTTTGGGGGAGAGTACATGGGCGAAGTGTTTGATCACATGATGAAGCGAATGTCCTACAGGCGCCAGAAGAGGTGGTGGAATGCTTACATTCTTTTTTATGAACGCATGGACACGATAGACAAGGACAATGAACTAATAAAATATATTTCAGAAATCACTATCACCACTAAACCCCACCAGATTAAAATGCCCTCAGCCATCGAGCGAAGCGTGCGCAAGCAGAACGTGCAGTTCATGCACAATCGGATGCAGTACAGCCTGGAATATTTCCAGTTCATCAAGAAGTTGCTTACTTGTAATAGTGTCTACCTAAACCCTCCTCCAGGTTAGTATGGTAGTGTGATAATTATGGATTCATTTTTTACAAGAAGAGTTTTGGTTTGTGTGGCCAAGGATTTATCTAGCCAGGGAAAATTTGGTGTGTCCTGCTTTGAATACTCCTGTCCTTCTGCAGTTAAACACCTTTTGTTGAGTTGTTCATCACTGGTAACTTGTCAGAATGTTTAGCAAAAAACACTTTGATAAACTATCAGCTATTACTCAGTTGCTGTACTAAATCAAGTTAAAATACTCAAGTTTGAGGGCTGTTTTGTTGAAAACAGTTCTCAAAGGTGAGATGCTGAATTTGTAAAAGACATATGTTAGCCTCCAGGTACCTGTATTAAAGCTTGCATTTTCAAATGATACATTGTAGAAGCTAAAGGCTATTTTGATAATGTTTCTTCTAAAATTGGAACACCATTCAGACAAAACAGTAATCTGAAATCAGTTAAATTATTAAAAATTGCTTTTACTTTGTCTACATGTGAGTATTCTGATTTTTCTTTAGGACAAGATCATCTGTTGCCTGAAGCAGAAGAAATAACTATGATTAGTATTCAGCTTGCTGCTAGATTTCTCTTCACCACAGGATTTCATACAAAGAAAATAGTCCGTGGCCCTGCTAGTGATTGGTATTTTGTCTTTTAACAACAATTACAATTTTGGAAGTTTGATGTCTGTTAAAAGATCCCATTTAGATACATGGTGAAGGTGCATGTGAAAAGGGGGGAAAATTTGAATAGAAAATACTGGGAAGAATTTGAGCTTTGAAATATCCTGCTGATCTGAATAGCTTCAAATTTAATTTTCAAACAGAGCTTAACTCTGTCTTTTAAAAAGAATAAAAGAATGGAAGCTGTCACTAGCACAGAACTAACAGGTTATGTTTTCTGACAAATTCAGAATGGTTTTTACATTGTTGTAGTAGTTTTAAACAAAGCTCTTTACAAGCTATTGTTGCAGCTTATATTTGAATTCTGTTTGTGAAACGTGTATAATAGTCTTTGAGACACTGTTGGCAGAGCACTTTATGTACATTGCTATGGGGCCTGTGATTCAAATCCACACTGTAACAAACAGTCCCATCTTACTCGTTTTAGTCCTTCAGCTGGGTTATTCTCTGCTGGGGAGAGGAGTGTGGGTTACTACTGGTCAAATTGGAGAGAAAATCTGGTAGTCATGGCCAGTAGTTTACCAGCTACTAGTGAGTAGTTGTGTAATGATGGCAAATTCACACCCCCAGCAGCAACTTCCAGAGTAGCTTAAGTTACTCCTTTTAATTTAAGAGATCAAGAAGAGTTCAAATATTCCTGCTGAAAGGACAGAGTAGTGCAAGCCCTCTCTGAAGCAGATATTTAGTCTTTGGGTATTGATTTTTCATTTTTTGGGGTTTTTTAAGATCTCTAAATAAGACTATAAATTCTTGTTAGGTTATATATTTAGTTGTATGTTGTATACACAGCTTATGAAATCCACTTGTGTTCTCTGCTGCTCAGCCTCTCCCCCAGTTCCAGTACAGAGACAATGGTGGCTGCAAAAATAGGACCTGCTTTGAGGAGTAGTTAGGGAGTGTAATGCTGTCTTAATTCTTAGAGGTGATAGAAGGAAAATGCTGCAGTTTAGTGTTGGGTCTTTAATTGAAGGATATCTTCCATTTCTGATTGGAACTACAGATTATCTGATGAGAATAATTTTGTGAACAAAAATGTTTGGGGATCTCCTTTAACACATATTTTCTTCAAACTCTGCAATAGCACATGTCTGACAGAATTGACTAATGTCTGCATTTACTCATAACTGTGCCATCTCCTGTTTCAGGTATGATGCCCTGTGCATCCTGCTCCGTCACAGCAAGAATGTACGTTTTTGGTTTGCACACAACGTCCTTTTTAATGTTTCAAACCGCTTCTCTGAGTATCTCCTGGAATGCCCCAGTGCAGAAGTGAGGGGTGCATTTGCAAAACTTATAGTATTTATTGCACATTTTTCATTGCAAGACGGACCATGTCAATCACCTTTTGCCTCTCCTGGACCTTCCAGTCAGGTATTTTAATTTTCTAATGAAAAGCTTTTGAAACTTATTCATACTTCTTCATTGTAAGCATTTAATGTGAAGTAAACTCTGGTGCAGATGCATCAGTGTTGGCTGGAAAGCTGTGCAGCCCATTTGCACTAGGAAACAGGATGTAACTCAACCAGTTAGAGTTGCTGTCAGAGAGTTCAGTTTCAATTCCCCTCATTAAATCTCTGTGAAGGCTCAGTGAGAGCTTTGGGCTGGGAGTGTGAAAGCTGCAAAAAAAAAGCAGTGGCTATTTTAGTGAAGTAGCATCTGGGGAAGTGAACTCTTGTTTTTATTTAGAACTGTAAAACAAACAAACCCCCACAAACAAATAAACACACTAACCTGAAAATCTGCAAGAGTTCCCTAAGTTTGAATCCCATGTATCTTGCAACAATCTTGAAATTGTCAAAAATTGCAACTTAGTGTAGGAGTAGAGAGTGAATTGCCTGATTTTACACACAAACAAAAAAACCCCTACATCTTATTGTGATACTTGTGATAACAGTGTTAAAAAGATCAACTTTTTTGAGCCTTTGCTTTGTCATGTTTTAATGTCTCATTTTGCTTACATGGTCCCATTTACCTTCTCAGAATGTTTTCACTACTGTGCCCAGCAAAAGAATTCATTAAGAATTAAGTTGAAGCTCCCATAGGCTTAGGAAGTTCTGTATTGTGAGGTATTTGAAATACACCTGTAGAGGTGATTTGGTTGTCTTAGTCTACAAAGCTACTATTGGAATTGCATATGTGTTTCTTGAGTATTTAGGCCTATCTGCTATTGGAAAAAAAGCCCAGTTAAAAGTTTCTGTAGCTATAATTTGTTGGACTTACACAGTATTGAGTGATGGGAGTTTTACTCCCTGTCTGTGTCTTTTTGTCTGCGTGAGACACTCGAGACTGCCCACCTGCTGGTACTTTGGAGCTTGTATAAATCCCATACCTTTTAACCAGTTCTGTTTTCTGTCATAGTAAAAAATAGAAACTAAATCAAGATATGCTAGATTCAGCCACTAACACTAGAACTTGTTTCTTTCTCTAGGCTTATGATAACTTAAGTTTAAGTGATCACTTACTGAGGGCGGTACTGAATCTTCTGAGAAGGGAGGTATCCGAGCACGGGCGCCACTTGCAGCAGTATTTCAATCTGTTTGTGATGTATGCCAATCTAGGTAAGCAAACTGCTGTTACTGACAACACTGCAATAAACTGGGGCTTTATTGATGATCCAGTTACAGAGGTAACAGCAGGAGGATCCAGTTTTCCATCCTTAGGCAGATTGTTATAGTTATATGTCATATAAATGCTCCCTAGCATCTGTGTTCCTCCTCTTTGGAGTTTGGGGCTTCAGTCTCCCTGTCATCCATGGAAGATAAACATGAGAAGCTTGGAGCTGTAAAACAGTGTCCTGCTGAGAGAGGGTGGGGGTGCAATTTTATAAAATACTTGACTGTTGCTGTTTATCAGCTCATGCAGGAAGTAGACAATTTTAAAGGAATTTAATTTCCTATCTCTAAAATTAATCTAGACAATTGTGTTAATTTAATTACAACTGTAATGTCTGTTGCTTTCATGTACTTTGCCTACCAAAGCATTCTCTGGCAGGTTTCTGTCATGACACCAGAGTAGAATTAGTGTCATGGCAGAGAAGAGAGATGCAATTCTTCTGCTCCAACTTCTCTTTTCTTCTTCACTAGCTTTTCATAGTCAGTGCAGTTCAGGCCTCTGAGTAGGAGAGCACTCAGAGGCCAGCTAGGAAAATATAATTTTATTTGTGAGTCTGATCATTATCACAATCTACCCTGCAGAGATAAACCTGAAAATACTAATACAATAAGCAGTTGTCCTTGTCTCACTACTGTTACGTGAAGGCTTCTGTATGAGTGTAGAGTCCATTCAGCAAAAACCACAATAACATCATTCCTGCATTCTGTGGAAAAGATTAAATTGTCTGACATTTTGAGAAATCAAATAGTAGATTGTTCACATCAAAGCAAGTGAGAGGTCAGTTCTACAGAGGATGCAACTACAAAACTCTAGCATAATCAGAAAAAATGCCATTAAGAAACCACTTACACTCCTCCTTATCAGAAAAATGGAAGGTAAGGCTGAGTTGTATTTTAGAATAAGAAAGACTTGGAAGTGTATGAAAAATCATTACTTTCAAACAAAATGAGAAACATAGTGCAAGAGGGAATATAGTGAATTTCCTGGTGAGTACTTGTGTAGTATATGCATGGTATTCTTGCAGTAAAACCAGTGTAGGTTTGGATTTTTTGGTTGGTTGGGGTTTTGGAGGTTTTCTTATTTATTTGTCACTTAATTTATGTTTATGACATTTTGTGACAGTTCAAAAATGTCTCAAGTTTGTGATTGATGTATCTAGGACATGATAGAAAAAAACCAAAATACACTGTGGGGGTTGTTTTTCCTATCCTGGGCCTCACAATAAAAGGATTAATTTATTGTCCAAAAGACTTCTCTGAGATTTGCTATTAACACAGGTGCTGCTTGTGTGTTGCTTAAGTGCTAATGAGCACTGTGAAGAAATGGTAGCAATTTACAACTCTCCTTCAATGTGATTTTTCAGCTGTATATAATTTTCTTGTGCATCTTTATTGATTTTTTTTCCCAGAAGGTATAAAGGAGGGCTTAATAGAACCCAAGAACTAAAAAGTTGCGAGTCATGTAAACTCTTGTTATTTTTCTCTTAAAAAATTTTAAAACTATTTTCAGTGCCAGAAACAAGATTTTTTTTTTCCCCTCCCTGCCCCATAAAGGTGTAGCAGAGAAGACACAACTTCTGAAACTAAATGTTCCTGCAACCTTCATGCTCGTGGCTCTGGATGAAGGTCCAGGCCCTCCAATTAAGTACCAGTATGCTGAGCTGGGGAAGCTGTACACCGTGGTGTCTCAGCTGATCCGCTGCTGCAACGTCTCATCGCGGATGCAGTCCTCTATCAATGGTACTGTGAATCTTGGGTTTGCTTTAGATCCATTGACTAAACCAGTAAATGTCTTTTTGTGCGTGTTTGGCTATTATTTATAAAGTGGATCAGCTGGAAAATGTTTTCCTTTTATGTTTAGCAGCTCCTTTCATTTAAAGAAACAAATCTGTCGTAAGCAAAACTGATTTGTTATACTAAAAAGACCAAAACAGAAATCAGTATTTTATGTTGCTTGGCTTATTCCTTAAAAATACAGGGAAATAATTAGTAAAGTAGGATGCTGTTCATTACAAAATAGTAATGCTTTTGGAATAGTTTAAGTCCATTGTCAAGAGTTGTCCAAAGATGTTTTTATTCTGAGTAGGCAATGAAAAATAGACCACAGAAATAATCTGTACAGGAAAAGCACCACAGCAGGTTTTGAGATAACTGATAGTGCTTAGCACTGAAGAGATGTTGCATTGTTTTGAATATTATTTGATATTGACAATTGACACTCAAGACAGCAAACAGAAGCCAATACTTCAATTTATAAAAAATAATCAGTTAGAAATTGATTAACCACAGTGTAAATCATTAACATTTCCAATAGCTGAATAGAGTGCAGTTATTTTTGAGGAATGGTGACAGGATATGGGGCCATGTGGACTTTATAGCCTGTATCTGTGCACGTTCTGCTAAGCATATTTTAGAAAACCTAATTAGAAATCTGTAGAGAAGCTATTTAATGGGAAACTCATTACAGCTTGATGTGTCAGGCTATAAAGTCAATAGGCTAGACTGTGCTGTGGTGAGATTAATGAACTGAAAATTTTACTGTGCTGTAATAAGCTTCAGAATCATGTGGCAATTTTGGTTGGGGTTTTTCCCAGTGCATTACTTGAAGCTTAAACTGAAAAGGTAGTCTACCTGTGAAAAATAGTTGTATATTCAATTTATTCATAATATTGTACTAAAATATATTGTTTATATGAACTTTACTTTGACTACTAATTATGATTACTGTTTGCATAATAAAGTTATTTTTTTGCTTCAGCTTATGAAACTAGAAAAGTTTTCCTTAGTCTTCTGGGCATCTTCAGACAATAACTCTAAACACTGCTAAATTTATAAACATTAGGAGCAAATCAACATTCTTTCACTACATAAAATGAAGCTGACTAAATAAGATACATTAATTGCAAAAGTATATTTATTCTCTACACTCCAGAGATTCAAATGAGACTGTTCTAACATAGATACTCCTCTGAACACTTTTGCATTGTCTTGTGAAGTAAACAGACATTATGTCCTTAAAATATGGCTTGGGCTGTGTTACACAAGCAATGAAGTAGATAAATGCAGGAGATAAGAGGATTTCTGTGAGAAATCTGAGTGAATTCTCCTCTTGCATGTGAATGTGTCTCCAGCTGTTTTGCTTTGGTTGTCACTGCATATTCTTATCAGAGAGGGAGAAGTAGCTCTCTCAGGCAGCAAGTGTCAAGCTTCACAAACATAAAAATTAGTTCTTTCATACTATTTTTTTTTCAAAGAAAGTCAGCTGTTAAGGGAGGATTTGTGTTTTTCTCCCTCTGTGTTTTTTGATGAGTTACATCACTTTGTATTTTGGAGTGTCTACACTGAAGGTACTTCAGCACCTTTTAATCTGTAATAACTGTTTGTTTCAGGTAATCCCCCACTTGCCAACCCTTATGGTGATCCTAATTTATCTCAACCTATAATGGCACTTCAGCAGAACGTAGCAGACATTCTGTTTGTGAGAACTAGTTATGTAAAGAAAATTATTGAAGATTGCAGCAACTCTGAAGAGACCATCAAGTTGCTTCGTTTCTGCTGCTGGGAGAATCCTCAGTTCTCTTCCACAGTCCTCAGTGAACTACTTTGGCAGGTAAAAATACAAAGCTAGGAGAAAGATGGGAATAAAAATATGAATGATTCTGCATTTATATGTAAGAATGTTGTATGAAATACTGAAGGGGTGCTTGATGAATAAATTTCCTCAAGATGGCATCCTCTGTCAGTATTTACAGTCTTAGGTCTCTGCATCACATTGGAGCACTGTGGGAAGTGCTTTATGAATTTAGGGAAGCAATCAACCTTTAACAAGTCAGGAAAGATGTGTTAAGGGGGGAAAGTAGACTGAGGTGGTCTTTGTGAATTTCAAGAGCATCTGCTAAAGCTTTTTGTCATTATCCATAAAAGAGATTCGTAGATGACATGGTAAGTCGGAATAATTTCCTTAGATCTCACTTGTGAGAGATTTATTTCAAGTATGTTTGTTAAGTAAGGTTTTTTTATAAGTCTGCAGAATGTATTTGGCTTCAGACTCAGCAAAGAATCTTTGATACCGTCTTATAATTCCATTGTAATCTCTGTAAGGTCAGACTTCTCCACTCCAAATAAAATTCTTTATTTCTGTTAGCCCATCTTTATATTTGCACTTTTTTTTTCATGTAGCATCACATTTTTCTATGTCCCTTTGTTTGACACTTGAATCATAATAAAAATCACTTTATTGATATTTTGCTACCCATGTATTTTACAGGACAGGGTAACCTGTGAAGACAACCTTTGTACACATTGCCTAAAAGTAGCAATATCAATGAAAAGTGCCATTTTTAAATTTTTATTTTCTAAAGATATGTTTTAAGGTACTGTCTTCAGCATATCATGCTTGGAGTTTCAGATCAACTGTGTCAGAAAATCCAAAAGAGACATTTTTTTCTTTACAGAACCTACTGTATTTAAAAACAAATCAAATTAAATTGCAACCCATAAAATTCCTGACACAACCAAAACTTTCTAGAAAAGAAGTATTGTATCTAGAAATATCCTTTGAATTACAGTAAACTTCAAATAAATTGTGCTCTTGTACTTCACTGTGTAAGCTGCCTGCCTCAAGGAATGCTTTCTTGTGTTCTCTGCATTTTCACTTTTTAGGTTGCATATTCATATACATATGAGCTTCGACCTTATTTGGATCTGCTTCTGCAAATCCTGTTAATTGAGGACTCTTGGCAAACTCACAGGTCAGTATTTACCTGTCCTTTAATAATTCAGTATTGTTCTGTACAGATTGTTTTTCCAGTGGTTCTGTTGGTAATCCTTTCAATAGGCTAGTTTTAAATAGGTATTAAATCAAAATTCACAAATAAAGCAGTTTTCTGTGGTTTGATCTGAAATTTTAAGGTAAGTACAATTTTTCATATTCCTTACTATAGAGAAGTTTGCTATAAAGCCAAGATTTCTCACATAGAAGAGAATGTGCTCTTTAGGTGAAACTCAGGTTAAACTTCCCTGTGAAGAGCTCACATTGATTCACAGAAACAATCCCCTTGAGGTGGGTCAGTGACAGCCTGGGCTTGCTCAGGAGCACATCAGAGGTAGGAGTGGTACCAAGACACACATGAAGTGTGAATGTGGGAGAAAATAATATTTCACATTTAGGTATTCTCCATATGATCGCATTTCAAGAGAATTGTAACTCAGCATATTACATATTAATCCAGTTGAAAACCTAATTTTTATATGTTTACAGAATAAAGCTTTTGAAAGTTATTAAAATGTTTGATTACTGCAAATACTATTTCTGAAAACAGTTTTTCAGAAGCTTAATACAAAAGTAGGTGAGATGACACAAATGTCATCAATGTGCTACCTGTCAGAGTTTTAAAATGTCACTGTTTCATAATAAGCAGTTATAGGTAGTATGGGATTTACTGAATCATTTCCAACTGTGTCTCATAGGACATTTCAAATACTTTCAGTGAGAGCACACTTGTTAGGTATGGGAGTGGACTCCTGTCCTTGGCTGTGGAAGCAGAATGTTACAAATTGCCTGGGCTTATTTTAGGAGGGACTCAAAGGAGATGCTGGTCTGGCTTAACCACACTCCAAAATATGATGACTGAGTTGTAGGGATTTGGTAATTTTCTTTATGGGATTTGCTATGCATATATAATGCAGTTAGCTTACAGTATCTTCTTGATAACAAATAATTCCATTTATTAAAGTAAGTCCACAGAATGCTGGAGGATGAGCATACTTTAATAGATATGATGTAAAGCAATGGATTTTTAGGGTTGAACAGCAGGTGAGAAATCATGGAAGTGGTTGTTGGGGTTAATGCTGTATTTGGAATAGCAGGGTATGAAGGAGGTGGAATGTTGTGGTGTGGCTTCCCTGGAGAAGTACATCACTCCATGTTCTGTTGCAGTGTCAGGAGTAGCACTGCTCCATGGAATTGTGCTAGGCTTCCACAGAGGGTATTAAATGGCCAGTTCCAGTCATCCACTACTTCTTGCTGCCACTTCTGGCCATAGCTTGAAGTACTTGTCTCTGTCCTGTTCTTGGTTTTGCTGTAATAATCAGAGAGTTTTAGTGATATTTGTCTTCTCTTCTGAAAAAAAAAAACCAAACAAAACAAAAAACCACAAAACCAACAAACCACCACAAAATAGTGAAATTGTCCATTGTAAATGGTGTCTTGTAACTCCTGGAAAACGAGTCTGATCTGACCCTTGGGGCAGCTTGTCCTCTGGTACTGCAAGATCACTGCTGCTGGCCCTTGGCATCAGACCCACTCTCTTAAATTTCTCTTGATTTGACAGGTTCAAGTGCCAAGTTTGGAATGGTGCAAGTGCCATTAAATGAAATTAACTGAAGTAAAGCTCATCATTACTTTACAGATGGAGCCTGGGCTGACAGCTGCCAGGGCTGTGAGGAAAGAGGGCAGTTCTTTCCCTGCATTGAGTGTAGCTCTTTGAGACACCAGTGTGGGTTCTGTGCCCCCTCTGACGTCTTTTCAAAGCCAAAAGTATGTCAGTTCTCCGTTTTTGCACAGTTTCAGGGTAGCAATTAATTCCTGTGCCCTGTTCAAGAGCAGAAGGCACAGAAACTGGGCTTAGTTCCAGGGAATGCCCAAGTCCCTTATCCCATGCACAGATATGTCCACTCATTCCCCCTCAGAGGAGCTGCCTGTAAAAGGGTGTCCTTGAGAAGCATAACTGAGTGTAAGTAACCATTCTGTTGAGGATTTAACTGTTCCAGTTCCCTAAGGACCTACTGGGTTAGCAAGGCTGATTTGTAAAGGCAGTAGATACTTTAGTAATAAAATTGAACTGTTAAAGTTGATTACTATGACTAGAATTAATCATACTTCTATTTTTATATATCATATTCAGTTATATTTTTAGCATGTTTGGTAATTTTTAAACTAAGTTATATATATGACATGTCAGGTTAATTTTCTGATTTTAAGAAAACCCTCTTGACTAACACCAGAAGTGAACATCAACTGTCCCTTTGGTAATGACATTGTATGTAGAGCCTTAATTCAAATGCTAAAGCTCTTTAACACTTAAAGTTTTGTTGTTGTTTTGGTTTGTTTTTTCCTAGGATTCACAATGCACTTAAGGGAATCCCAGATGACAGGGATGGCCTCTTTGACACCATTCAGCGCTCGAAGAATCATTATCAGAAAAGAGCTTACCAGTGTATAAAGTGCATGGTAGCTCTTTTCAGCAACTGCCCTGTAGCTTACCAGATCCTTCAGGTGATCCTTTTATTCTGTTTCTTGCTGCTTTTTTTGCCATTTCTGTGCTTAAAAAAAAAACCAAAACAAACCCCACAATTATTCAGTTTTTAACACCTCAATTAAATTACAGCTTCCAGGGACAACTCATTTGAACCTTCTGTATGAGAAGGTCATTATAAGGGATTGAAGGCAGTCTGATTAAATTCACACTCATTTGCAGCTGTGATGCAGCTGCAGATCTGCATACTTAATTTCAAATTTGAAGTTTTCTTTGGGGGAAAAAAGGATATTTGCGACTCCTTTAAACAAAAGCAGATAGGTTGGTGGTCTCTGACAGCTGATGTATAGGGAAGGAAAAATACTTCTGTTTTCAAGAACAGAGGAAGTAATTGTGAATTGTTCATTTTCCATCTGCAGAGCAATGGAGATTTGAAGAGAAAATGGACCTGGGCAGTGGAATGGCTTGGAGACGAGCTGGAGCGTAGACCATACACTGGCAATCCCCAGTACACCTACAATAATTGGTCTCCACCAATACAGAGCAATGAAACATCAAATGGCTACTTCCTAGAGAGGTCACACAGTGCTAGGATGACTCTGGCAAAGGCTTGTGAGCTCTGCCCAGAGGAGGTAAAGAATTCATTTGACTTTTAGTTAACAAATTGAGTAAAGTGCTTCTGTAAATAATTAACCTTAGCAACAGTCTCCACTCATTTAAGAGGTAACACATTTCATATGGACTTTATAAGTATGGATTTATATTTTTATTTTTTCGTTTTTATTACTGTTCCTATAGACATCTGTCACTTAGAGAATTAGCAGTATAAAATTGAAATTGACCATTTGAATTAGATTATGAATGGGTCTGTATTTCCAGTAATACATTGATAGAGGGAATTTTTATTTAGTACAGTACAAGCTATAGGTGACAGGGTGGGGTGGAATTTTTTTCTGAATGTCTGAAACATTACTCTAGCATGTCTAAAACAATCATTTGCACACAGGATTGGTTTGGGCTAGAATAATTATGATATGTTTTTAAGAAGTAAATTAAATGGGCTGTTTCAAACTTTAGGAACCAGATGATCCTGATGCCCCAGATGAACATGAGTCTTCTCCACCTGAAGATGCACCACTGTATCCCCATTCACCTGGTTCCCAGTATCAACAGGTAAAAGCTCTGAATTGAACTATTTATTCAGTTTCAGGTTTGCTTTTTTTTAGTATTTATGGTGACTTAAATTATAGGTATTTAGCCAGAAGCATGTTATTGTCAAATACCATATTTGGAGGAATAAAGGTAAACCTCCATTTCAGCAGGAGCAGTTTCACCATCAGAGCTTCAGATGAGAATTTTATCAGCTCAGGGGTTAATCATCCACAGAAAGAGCAAAGAGATTGATGTAATCACAGCCTAGTGCATACTGAGTTTGATTCTGCTGTATTTATTGACATTGATAATATTTTGTGAGCTGCTTTCTTGTTTTCAAATATAAGATCAAATCTCAAGGCCTGAATTTGGATAAGTGAAAGACTTTTGGGAAAAAAAGCAGATGTCTTTGTGGCCGTGTAACTCGTGCTATGAACAGTGATCTCTAAATCTGAAGTACATATAAAATTCCAAATCTGTTTTTATGTTAAATGGTTGCTTTGTTAATACTTTGCAGTCAAAAGCCAGATCTGGTAGAAATCATAACCAGGGTCTTCTTATTGAATTGACTAAATTATTGGATCCCTCACTTAGTTGCCATATTTTGTTCCAATTCATTTTGTATATTCCAAATCTGCTAATTTAATTTCCTTTCCTGCCCAAATCCATTTTCCCCTCCATCTTGCTTTCCTTACTTGATGTTCTCAGCAGAGCAGTTGGTAAGTCATGCAGATTTTCCCACTCCTTCCTGAGCTCCCGAGTTCAGACACATTCCGTAACCTCACCATTGCCCTTGTCATGTGTTCACTTTCCTGCAAGAGACAGCATTTCTCACTAACACACACCCAATCCTCATACTCTTGGTTTCTCCACAAACTCTGCAAAACAGTAGATAAATGAGGTGGTTTTGTTTGCCAGATCTGTGTGTGACTTTTTAAATTGGGGCAGAGCATTTGCAGAAAGCTGCTGCTCTAGATTTCATTCAGTTCTATAACATTGAGGTTTCCCCCTTAAAAATTAAAGTATGCTGCATAAACACAGGTTTGCTTTTTGCATTGTTTTAGGGAAAAAAGTCAAGCTGGTTGAATCTGTTAATAAAATATGTGCACAGTGTAATGTGGCAGCACATAGGCAACCTCTCTTGGTCTCCTTTTTTCCTTTCTTGCTGCTTTTGCTTTGCATGTAACTGTTTGTGATTCAAAAGTTGAGATTACTGTTTCAACTGATCCTTTTAGCTTTACAAGTTGAAAGTTTGTTTCCCTTGTGTGTAAATTGGCTTCTGCAAATGAAATTTAGATAGATAAATGAGGTGGTTTTGTTTGCCAGATCTGTGTGTGACTTTTTAAATTGGGGCAGAGCATTTGCAGAAAGCTGCTGCTCTAGATTTCATTCAGTTCTATAACATTGAGGTTTCCCCCTTAAAAATTAAAGTATGCTGCATAAACACAGGTTTGCTTTTTGCATTGTTTTAGGGAAAAAAGTCAAGCTGGTTGAATCTGTTAATAAAATATGTGCACAGTGTAATGTGGCAGCACATAGGCAACCTCTCTTGGTCTCCTTTTTTCCTTTCTTGCTGCTTTTGCTTTGCATGTAACTGTTTGTGATTCAAAAGTTGAGATTACTGTTTCAACTGATCCTTTTAGCTTTACAAGTTGAAAGTTTGTTTCCCTTGTGTGTAAATTGGCAAGGTAAGTGAAAGGTGTGAATCAGAGGAATGAAGCAGCTGGGATGTGTGTTCATGTTGTGTGGGTACCTGAGAAGTTGGTGTGCTTGAGGGTACTTCCTGCTGGTCTGAGTGGAAAGGGGGAAAGCAGGGAGGCAGGAGGCAGCCCACAGGGTTAAATCCCTTTGAAATGTGTGTGCTTTGTTGCAGAATAACCACGTGCATGGACAGCCATATACGGGCCCTGCAGCACACCACATGAACAACCCTCAGCGAACTGGCCAACGAGCACAAGAAAACTACGAAGGCAGTGAAGAAGTTTCCCCGCCTCAGACAAAAGATTAGTGAAATGCACATAATCAATTAACTTGCTCCATCAAGACTGTGCACCCAGGCCTTACAGTCCAACTTTTCTCTGTGTCTGGCTAATATTTAAAACTAGAAAAACTATTCCTAATCAACATGGAGTGGAGAGTCTATTCACTGTCTTATCTGCAGAAAATTGCTGTCAATATATAACCCGCCTGCAGTGGAAAGTGTATAGTGTTTTGTAATAAATGGCCTGATGCTAATGTGTAAATGGCAAAGGTGTATATAGTATATTAATGTTTGACTGTTAATTCTTGAGCAAGAAACATTTTTTTTTGTCTTGATGAGACTCACAGATCTACAAAAACAAAAAAATAATTTCTTGATATATCTGCTGCGCTCTGCAACCAGTGTTGCCTGCCTCATGGCAGTTGGATCAACTCCTTTACGAAAAAGCCTATCCATGTCAACCACAAAAATAGTTTCATGTTAATTCTTTGCCACTGGAGTCGATTTTACTATGAGCAACGTAATGGCTGGTAACCTTTTAATTATTTGGTTGATGTGGAAAATTGGTGATGTAACATTGTTTCTAGATCTTTTTTCATTGCCTTTTTCATTCTGGTATTAGGTTAATCACTTTGAAGCTATAGTTATGCTGTAACATTTAGCATGGCTTCACACCAAGTTAGTGTAGCCAATGAGGGGAATAAAAAAAACAAAAAACAAGCGTGACAGCAGTTGTCCCAATGTGACAACTGTATTGCTCAGAACTTTTTCTTCTTACACCTAGACTATAAAATGGGGAGGGAAAATGTGACAAACAAGTGGTTTTCAGTTTCACATATGTTCCTCACATCTGATGTTTGACAGTTCTCTCTCTGGGTGGGATAAAGAACACTTAGTTTTCAGTAATAGGAATTAAAACAAATATGCAAAAATTTGCTATGCCAGGATGCCTGGAGCATAATAGACTGTATTTGGTGTGCTTGTTTTGTTTCTTTGGTAGAGCTTATTAGATAAACTTCTAACACTTTCCTTCTACTGCATCCCAGTGAAGTGGAAGTCAACAAAATCACAGAGTACTTGTGAGTGCCACTGCACCAAGTTAACTTGCTGGTTTTCTGCTCGTTCACAGTTCTACTTGAAAGCGAGAATTGTCTTAGCTCTTTATCCATTATACAGAAAATCTTAACATTAGAAGCAGGGTTTGAATATAAAAGAAACTACTGGTTAGTCAAGTACAATTCTGAGGTATCTCTATTCCAGAATAAACATTTGTTTAAAGACTTAAAGAAACGCATCAGTAAATACTGTATTTAAATGAAAATTGGTAACTTGAATGTGTGTAATTTTTTTGGAACCTGTCTAAAAACCAAATACCCCTGCAAAACAGATACAGCCCACCCTATACTATTTAAATATTTTGCTGTTTTATTTTATAGAAATTATTTTGCTGAATTCACAAATAGAATTTGATTTAAGAAGAATGTTTTGTCCTGTGGTGTGTGTTGTTTTTTGGGGTTTTGTTTTTTAATGGACTGCACAGAAAGGTGAATTCTGTGCAGTGGCACTATGCTGAATTCTGGAACAACAGTCACATTGAGATTCTGTGCACAAAAAAAAAAAAATTGGCCCTCAAGAATAAAATAATCAGGACAATTACACTGTAAAAGTTTCTTAATGTGATTTATCTTGTACTTTTTGTATGTTTTTATATATACATATATATATTTAAGAGCACAAGCTTGATGGTGTTTTTTACAAATGAGTTGATAGAAACAAAGCTGCTTATCAAATTAAAGGTCTGTAGTTTTGAAATGAACAATGGAAAATTCAGTCCAAGTGCATTCTTAGGCATTTAGTGTAACAAGGGAGAGACACAGAAGATTTTTGAATATGCTGTGTAGCGATGATCACTTTTATGCTTCCATGTTTTTCCTAGTGCTCAAGTTAATTCAGATTTTCTTCATAGTTTTTTAGTAATACCATTTTACCTGGATTTAGTAAATTTGGATAACGTGTTCCCATTTATGTTTGGGGATGCTTGTTGGAGGTTTTAACTACAAAAATTCTACCCTGAGTTCTGAAGTTGAAATACTTATTTGGACCAGTAATTGTTAAACAGGCTATCTCAGAGGCAATTATTACGTTTTTTGTACTATATAGGTAAAATATATAATGTGCTAGTTCAGCCTTGCCAAATGTGTTTGCTTTTAATAGTGCAGTGATTGTAGAGACATGTCCAACCTGTGACACTTTAAGGCTGTGGCTTTCTCCAGCCATACCCAGCCCTGCCCCAGAACTGGGAATGGCTGCAGTGGCAGTTGTTTTCCAGGCAGCAAACTGAGGATTTTGTGCATCTTTGTGACATGAAGAAGGGTGAACCCATATTGTTTGCTGCAGCTGTTGCTTTTTAAACAGGCAGCTCCGGTGTGAGGTGCAATGTTTTCTTCACTCTGGGCAAAACCATTTTGAATTGTACTTCTTAACAAATACTGTACAAGCAAAAAGTTTGATATGCATGTTTCTGTGGCAGCATTTTGGCAGGTGGCTCCAGGCGATGCCCCTGGCGATGCCTCGTTGGTGATGGCACACTCTAGAGCAGTACCCCTCAAAGTGCCTGAAGATTAAATCCCCCATCACTGATTTCAGTCCTGTTTTCTGTTTAGAACAGTTTCTAGGGAATCTCTGGTCTTCCATAAAATGAGCCAATAAATAGTAAAGCAATTCCTGGTGTTCCTGGTGGCGTGACATGGAATACATAGAAACTGAAAATCCATAGGTGATGTTGAGTCAGGTTAGTGTGTAGTTTGACCTTGGGGGAAATCCATAACCTTACTGAGCAGAATTTCTTCATCTTGTACATTTGGATTGTGGTTGTTCAGTGACTAAATTAAGCTTTTAACACTTGCTACTGTCAGTGTTAAAAATAGTACAGCCATATATAAAAAGAATTCAGTCACTGTTTGTGTGTCAGTAAATGTACTACGTGTTGGTCACCTGCACCTGTGTTACCCCTTTGACAACAAGGAGATGGCTCAGGGTTCTATCAAAGCTTGTTTGTCCTGCAGGACCTGAACTTGTGGGAATGGACAAGCAGAACAGGACTCTGCTTGATTTGGAATTTTTCACATTATTTTCCCAGCTGACTACATACAAGCTCTGAAAATTTGAGTTCTCTGTTTTTCAAGCTTGTGTATCTTGCTGAAATCGAGCCAGAAAGAAATGAAATTTCCCCCATTGACATTTCTTTTTTTCTTTTTCTGAGTGAAACTTTAGGCAACATGAGAGATTTGTGTTATATTTGCTATTATGCCTTCTCAGCCACTCTGTTGTGCCTAGCTTGTGTGTTTCAGCATATGTGTCATGAAAAAGCACTTACGGTTCCAAAACTTCCTGTTTATTTCCTGAGATCCAGGAGAGAATGAGATTAGCCATTCTGCCAAAGTTAAAATGGGCAAAAATTGGCTGCTGTAGCAATTTACTTCATTTTTGGTTTCAATAAATTTTGTCTACCTCTTAAGTCTTTTGCCAGAAATGAATAGGCTGATGAACTGTGTCAGGGCAAAGTGGCTCCATGTTTTTGTTGGCGTGAGTTCCAGTTACTGGGCATTACAGGGAAGCTTTTAGTGCAGTGAATTGAACTAAAAATGAAGTTAAAGACTTGACTGTATAAATTGGAGGAAGAAGTGGCACATTGGGAAATTTGCAGAGTAACCAATTAAGCATTTAACTATCTTAGTTAAACCTTGCTATCCCACACTTTCAAATCCACATTGGAAGCAAATTCCCCTGTGACAAAAAGACACACCTTTATTTTTGGGAGGGTGAGATGCTGATGCCAACCTCACATTTCTTAGGACAGGTGTGGGACTTTCCCATTTGTGGCTCTGCTCCAGCACAGCATAATCAGGACAACAGTGATTTTGGCTCTCTTACTTTTCATGCTGTCCATCACGTTCATGATACCACCTTCCCACAGCCATGAGGTCTTGGGAATGAAGCCTGCAGCTGCCTTGCCTAGAGCCAGGCAGAAGAGGAGTTCTGGGAGCAGTGGAAGTGTCTTGCACAAAGCTCCTGCTGCACCGAGGTGCTGCAGTGGCAGAAGGCAGCGTGGAAGGATCCCAGCTGCTTCCTCCTGCAGCATTCCTGCTCTCCTTGCAGGTGCTCTGGTGGGGCAGGTGACACCAAACCCCTCTGCAGAGCTCAGTGCGTTTTCTCCTGGCTGGCAGCTGGGGTCAGAGTGGGCTGTGTGTGCCCTCTGTGCCATTCCAGGGTGTCCCTGGCCCTGCCTTCCAGTGGGGTTGCCATGTCAGCACACTCTTGGCTGACACTTGCCTCCCTTCCAGAGTGGAGGAAGGGCTTTAACCCAGCCCGAGCACTGTCACTTTTCACAATGGAAAGGTTCTTACCATAAATTTCCTTTTATTTCTAAGGTATAAAAGTCTCCCCTGAGCAGTTTTTAAGTGTGCAGTAGCCATTCCTGTGTCATTTTTCACAAGAGCAAGTGCACAGCCCCACCCCTGCAGTGCCTGTTAGGGGTAGGCTGTGTCTGGAAGTGTTGACAAGAGATTCCAGCCACTAAATTCAGACATCCTCATCCTGCACTCTGATTTTTTAATGCAAGTTGTGGTGGATCCACGGATTTCAGCAGCATTTGTGTGAGTTCAGTTGATTTCAGCACTGGAAGAGTGGAAGTTGGTGATATGTTGGGTCAAGCCAGCTCAGTCAGCAGGAGGCACAGAAGACAGAGCTCTTGTTTGCAGACAAATCAAAACAAGCACGGGGGAACCAGTTTCTGAAGGAGAAAAACACTCCTGAATAAGGGCTAACTTTTAATCAGATTTTTAAATACCCAACTCTGTATTTTTTAGCTTTAGAACTCCTTGAAGCCACTTTTTGATAATAAAACTGACCTACAGGCTGTTTACTTGGAAGAATTTAATATAGCCTTAAATCATATCAGCACAGTTCTGAAATGACAGGGTCATTGTTCAGTGGTCAAAATAATGTGCAAAAAATGTCTTCTAGTTTTTAACCATTAGATAACCTTGAGTAATGAAAACAAGAGGAAAAAGTTCCATGACTTCATCCACAATCAGACCATAGCAAAACATCCAGTGCAGGAAAATAAGATCATGCCCTTCTCTGTTTCTATGGTATTCAAAATGTCTGATAATGTTAATTTTTGTTCTTAATTTGCAACTACTATTCCAGTAAGTTGGTGTATTTTGCCCAAAGTGGTGTGAGCTGCACAGTCTGCATTTGCAGTGATGTCCCCTTTAGTCCACACCAGAGCAAAATGTTTAAATGTTTGGTTTTCCCCTATGAGCTGTTCCCTGACCCACATTTCTGCTGTGGTGTTGTGCTGCTCCTGTTTTCATGCAATGCCCAGGGCTGGATGAATGCTTTCCAAATGTGGTTTCACCTGAGCCATTAAGTGAGCAGTTCTGTTCCTTTGCTGTAGTGATACCTCTGTAGGTGCAGCTTTTAAAGGTATTATTGGCCTTTTTTGTAGCTTTATTTATTGAAATGCTGCTCAGTTCTTGTCCCTCACTCTTAAATTCCTGTCTGTCATTTCTTGTGATTCTTTCTTACAGAGTTTTTCACTCTGGATTGCAAGGATCATTTTTATATTCAGTATTTTTGTATTTTCTTGGAATCAAATCCCTTCACTTGCCATGATGATTGTTTACCTCCTGTTTTTACCCACACCTACTGTCCTGCTGTTTGCTGCTGCAAGGGAAAAACCCAAAAAACCCCCACGTTTGCCAGGCAGCCTGGAGCCTTTCACAGTGCAGTAGCAGCAGCCACAGCCTTGACCAGGTGGGCTTTGTCATCTCTTAAATCCTCTCATCTATGTGGGATAGGAAAGCTTTGTGCTACTGATGGCACTGGAATTCTAATAGCTTGTAGCTTACTGGGTTTCTTTGGTTGGTTGTTGTTTGGGGTATTTTTTCCCTTCATTTTCTATATTGAACCGTTATTCTACAGGTGAATAAAAGCAGTAGATTTTGCTGGAATCTACTCTGGAAAAGAAGGCGGATTGAAAAGTTGGACACTTAATATACTTGATTGTATTTAAATACCTGGTAGGTGCTTTAAAGTCCTCAGAAGGTCTTCTGGAAGCAAATTCCTAAGCTCAGAAATGTGAAGATTAGTTCTTCAGGACTTACTGATACTCACCAGTTCTGTCTGCCTGCCCTGTGCGTGACTGAGGACAGGTGAAATAGCAGGAATGGGAATATTTTGCTGAAGGGAGAGGTGGTGCTGTGTGAAATCCCTGGGGAGCTGGAGCTGTGCTTTGCCTGGCCCCACACAGCCCTGGCAGCAGCTGCTGAGCCTTTGTGCAGGACCTGTCCCCAGGGCTGTTCCGAGGAGGAACTTCAGATTAAGTAGCATGTAAAGCATTTTCTATTCTTCTTCTTCTCTAAGATCTGTACCAAGTGTAATCCTCTGAGCAAATCAAGGCAGGGATGGGCTGGGCGAGGGCCAAGCTGCTTCTGTGAATACTTTCTACCTCTTGTTCATTGCCAGGAGCGGCTCTGGCCGAGTGGGAGCTGCCCTGGGCCAGGCCAAGGTGCACAAATTCCTGGTGGGGCTGTTTGCTGGGCAGGCACGGGCAGTCCCTGCCTCCCTGGGGATACATGGAATTCTTTGGGGTACCTGTGT